GGTGCGCACCATTTACGTACCGTATCTAAGTTCGCCGTTATACTTTATCACCGCAAGGGAGTTTCAGCAATTTCGCCTGCAGACGTGGAGACCTTGCGCGTTTGCCTGTCCGCATACTTGACCCTGGGATGCGGGTTCGCACCACGTCTTGGATGCACAAGCCTTCCATGCCATCAGATGCACCTTATCGCTGGTCAATATTTCCCGCCTCTTCACGCTCATTTTGGTGCGTTTCAGCGCAGGTACGGTAGCGGCGCAGCCGACTAGTCGCTACGACACAGCCTCGGTTTACAAGGCCTTCGTAAACAGAAATGTCAGAAATGAGGAGCACGCAGTGCCGACAGAAGCAAGCCGTCACATGAGATAACGGAGCCTAACCGTCTCCTTGCACGTTTGCTTCAATGCAAAGAGCTGCGATATCACATATGGTGGAAGTTGTCTGTTAGCTTCGCAGCTAGTGGCCGCAGTACAGTACACTAAGAGTCGGAAGAATGGAATCAATGGTCATCGTTTCGAAAGCTTGGAAGGGAAGACATACCGCGCATGGTATGCGTGCACGATAACCCAGGGTCAGTATACCGCCAACGTCAGCAAGACAATGCAACGACTGAGCCTGTACATGGAGTAGCCAGGCTCAGCATGGCCGCAGCCAGCACGGGACGGGAATTTTGCACTTCGACGCGGGTAGCAGGGCCTGCTGGCGAGATAGGGTTTTCGCGAAAGATATGGAACAGTGGCGCAGTATTCATATCGCTTCGCTTGAACTGAAGGCACGGATGGTGCTGCCGGCATATCACGAACGAGGGCGGGCGGCACGACATGCCGATAAATGTGGGGGTAGGATTTTGATTGAACAGTGCGGTTGTATGCTGCCATAAAATAGACTTTCCTGGAGTATTGGTTTTCTGAGCGGTTGCTGGTAGCTAAGTTCTAATGGTCATAAGGACAAGGTTTGCTTCCAGATTAGCCAAGAGTTAGATATAGACAATTCAAGACGTACTATTTTTCGACACGTACGAGGATACTGAATGCCTCAAGGATACTATGACGTGATTGTGTCAGAATACCTGCCTACCGATCCAAGGTGCTGACGAAGGAAAGGGATCATGGTAGGCTGAGATAAGTAAATTTAACATCGCACAAATTTACTAACGTCTGCTACCGGTAGACGTAAGAGAGACAATCTGGGACGACGGTCAATCGCTCGTTAACTCTATCGGACACGTATCGTACGTCAATATACACGCACATATCGAGTCGGATATGAAGATTGGCAGGTACAGCACAGGGAGTCTAACGAAGGTGCCTATAAGCGAAGAAAGTCAATGCAGCTCCGCGGAGCGAGTCAGTGGTGCGCGAAATACGAATTTGCAACGGAACGGATAGGATAGACGATACTGACTATTTGGCAGCCGCAAAACGTCGAGGTAATGCGGTCTTCAGTCGCAGACACCTGCAGAAGCAGCTAATGTCTCGGTACCTATCATCGCGTACAAAAATCAGCAATTCCATGTAGAATTGTCGGGAGCGTTCACAGGACTACCCGGCGATATACCGCGACACAAAGAGACAGTGCCAATCGCCGACACAATACTGAATGCGACCGCGTCATGCGCCATCCATCCGGTCTCGAGCCACACTGAGTTGATGCCTTGGTCGAGGAGGTGATGAGCTGTAAACCAGACCCATCGTACATAGTTCCGCCGCACAAGATGGGACGTACCACAGACGCATCACCGTCGCGCCCTCAGCGCGCGCCTCGGACGCGACCTGTCTCGGGGTTCTCCGACTTGCGCTCCTTCTCGATCGCGACGCAAATAGACGCCGTCCCCGACAGGTTGCTAGGTATGTCGTGTGCCAGAGCAATCGAGTGTGCGCGGAGGATAATGGGGTATGTGGCAGAAAAATAATGAGAAGCGGGGCGGGGCGTCTTCGATTTTTTCTCCTTGCCCGAGTCGGGAGCGGTCTGTGGCCGGGAGCCGTGTGCACAATATTGCGCACTGTTTCATTTTCTCTCCTGTGCACGCTCTGATCTCCTGAGTGTTGTACTCTTACCTAGGAGAAGAGCTGGTTTCTTGGAGTCTTTTCCGCCCAGCTATCGCAGATTAACAAATTGCGAGCGCCTTAAAAAGAGCAAAGGCGGAACAGGAGTACGTCATGTACTATCCGCTGCGGGAAATGCGATTGGCTAGTGATAGGATCGTCTTCACTCCAGCCACGCGTGGGGACGGGCCGTCGGGATCTTGCCGGGGGCATTGATCAAGCTCGAGGGCGAGGGGAGGAAAAATGATTAATGAGCTAAAAAGATTAGGGTTAGGTTTATTACGCAGCGGTTATCGGGGACTGTCCGTACGCGCCTTGTGTGGAAGGGCCGTGGGCAAGCCTCATCGTACAAAGTTCAACGGTTCCCACCCTCGCATCCTGTTCGTCCTCCCCTCCCTTCCTTTTCTCCTCTGCTCCTCGTGCTCTCCGTCTCCCGCCCGTCCGTCGACGCTCCCGCCACTACCATCGACGACGGAGGCACCACCTCGAGGCATATCCAATACCTCTGAGCAAGAGACACGGTATCGAACGCACCGCATATAACGTAGTCGCACATCTCTCCTTCGTGCCTCTTTCTCCGGCGTATCCACCTTCCGCTCGTATCCACCGTACCACTAGGCCGCGATGGACTACGACCGCTACGATGCGTTCCTCCACCACATTTTCAAGCAGACACAGGGCGACGCGTGGTTCCGCCCCAACGAGGACAACCTCTCTGCAGGTGTCTGCTTGCGCGTGAACGACGGTGTCAACACAGCAAGCGGGCTGCCCGAGTTTCGTGTGTTCCCCTATGAGAACCTCGCGCTTGAGCCGTTCGAGGCTGCTGTGTCGCGCCTGAACCCTGCCGTCGCCGTCAAGGTGCGCAGTGCGGCTGTTCATGCCGCCCTCGCGGAAGTGTAAGCTACCCTTCATTCATGTTTCATACTTCTCTTGTTCGGTAGTTGTTGTTCGGCGCAGAGTCCGTGTGGTCGTCTCTCGACGCCGCGCTTCCTTACCAAATCCGGCGTGGTCCTTGCAGGCGCCTTTCTTTCTCACGCTCCTCGCGACTCGCTTTCGTTGCCTTTCCGACTTCTTTCATCGCTGTCTGCAGTAGCGGAAAGGCCCAGTACTGACATGTCACGCGTCGCACAGGGGACCGGACGACGCATCCATCTATGTCGATGCGAACACCCGCATTCAGATATTGGAGACGATGATGGACCTCCCAACCGCCGATAAGGAACAGAGCGCAGCGTTTATTGTAAGTCCCCCTCTTTGTTTTCGTGTTCTGCGAGCATCAGAAGAACGACAAGGAGTCGTGCCTTCTGATTTCTGATACTCGATGGCCCACGGTTTGGGGAGACCGTCGAGGGGGTGGGCGCGCGCTCAGAGAATGCCAAGTCCGTATTATCGGCTTGTTTAGGGTTGACTCAACGGACATAACCTTCCGCTTGAGTGATCGATGCAGGCGCAGTGCGAGCACAGCGCAAAGCTTGAATGGGAAAACGTGCCTAAAACCAACTCTGTCATGATTGGGTTAAGAGATGACCGGGTGCTAACAACACGCTTTCGCTTGTAGCGCGACGAGCGTGTTCTGGTCGTGTGGTCGGATTCCATCGACACCATCATCCCTACTTCCAGTGACTTCGAGGAGCGTCTCATCAAGCTGTTGTGGAGGTCAAGACCGAATGCGATGAACCATCCGACGAGTGTCAGCTCACATCCGGCCAGTGTAAACGGTGAATCCTCCAGGCCTATCTCGTGGTCAACGGCGCTGAACAATGCGGATCCAGGTTCCATGTCTGGCCACGGTTCGATGACTAACCTGAACACTCGCCTGTCGGGCTTGAACGGCTCTCGAGTAAACTCTATGCTTCCGCCGCCAGGTACTCCACGAGGCGTCCACGGTATGAGTATGGAAGACCTTACACCCGACTTGGAGAAGGGCGGCGATGACCTCAGTGAGAAGGGCCATGTCAAGACCAAGACCAAGCGGACGTGGTACGGCAAGAAGAAGACCGTTATTGTGGCAGAGCTGGAGGAGGGTGTCCCAGAACCGCGGCCAGTCATGCTCTATGCGCCTGTTTACAACGGACTAGCCTTCGGTCTCTCTATCTGTAAGCGTTTTGGCTGCATATATGCGTGTATGTTCAGCGCTAACGTGCATATAGTCTTCATCGGCAACGGTATCAACACCCTCTTAATTGAGTGGCAGTTGGACAACAATTTCACTCGCTTCGCCCTGTGTGCGATCATACCCCTGCTCTTTGCGGTGTCCCTTTTCTTTTGCCTGCAGATCTTCCAGAACCTTTGCATGGCTGTCGGCCCCATCGCTCAGTACCACGAGAACTCGAAGTACTACTCTGCGATCCCGCCTCGTCCCAACAAGATGGTAGACAACAACCTCCCGCATATCACTATTCAGATGCCTGTTTACAAGGAGAGCTTGGAAGCCGTCTTGTGAGTATTATGGGACCGCACGTTCCTCGTATTGTGCTGATAAACCGGCATGCAGGGCCCCATCCATTGAGTCGCTTAAGAAGGCTATGCAGACCTATGCTCGTCAGGGTGGTACTTCTACCATCTTCATTAACGACGATGGTCTCCGCGTTATCTCCCGGGACGATCGTGATGCTCGTATCGCGTTCTACGCCAACCACGGCATCGGCTGGGTCGCCCGTCCCAAGCAAGATGACGCTGCTGATGGTTTCAAGCGTGCCGGTCGTTTCAAGAAGGCTTCGAACATGAACTACGGTCTCTCGCTGTCGCTCATTGCGGAGAAACACCTCGAGCAGCTTCAGGCGCAGGAGAAGAGCCGACCATCTAGCAGCAACGCCGGTATTCACCGCAATGCGCGCGAGGATCGTCAGTTTGGTCTGCAGTACCAGGATCACGACGGTGACGAGCAGGGTATCGTCGAGGTCCAGCACGGCGAGAACGCTGTATCGGGCGCCTCCGATGAGTGGGAAGATCTCGAGGAGAAGGCACTCATGCTCGCGATTGAGGAGGTCTATGAGACCAGCGGCCGCCGCTGGAGGCCGTGGGCCGCCAACGGTCGTGCATGCCGTGTCGGAGAGATCATTCTGATTGTCGACTCCGACACCGTCGTTCCTGAGGACTGCCTTCGTGACGCCGCTCGCGAGATGGCTGAGTGCCCGACGGTCGCTATCATCCAGCATGAGTCTGGTAAGCTGCAGTCTGGATGCATATACCCGATGCTGATTCGGTTGTAGATGTCATGCAGGTCGCTCACCACTACTTCGAGAACGGTATTGCATACTTCACCCGTCGTATCAATAAGTGTATCTCTTTCAGTGCGTGCTGCTAGCTCGTGTGCGCAGAGCGAGTCACTCATGTCATTTATGCTAGCCTGCGCGAACGGTGAAGTTGCTCCCTTCGTCGGTCACAACGCGTTCTTGCGCTGGAAGGCCATCCAGGACGCAGCGTTCGTCGATAAGGACGGTGTCGAAAAGATCTGGTCCGAGTCGAACGTATCTGAAGACTTCGACATGGCGCTTCGTCTGCAACTCCGTGGCTACATCATCCGCTGGGCGACGTATTCCAAGGGTGCCTTCAAGGAGGGTGTCTCGCTCACTGTCGACGATGAGCTCAACCGCTGGCAGAAATACGCGTACGGCTGCTCGGAGCTGTTGTTCAACCCTCTCGTGCAGTGGTGGCGTAGAGGCCCGATTAACAAGCAGATCCACAAGTTCCTGTGGTCGAAAGCGCCAATCCACTACAAGATCTCGATGATGGCGTACATGTTCTCGTACTGTGCGTATTTTTCGTCTGATCTCTCTTGCACACCACTGACATAGTTTGTATTGATAGACGGTATCGCTGGCTCCATCACCATCGCGCTTATTAACTACGTCTTGTTGGGTTGGGAGTTCCCCGTCGATGGTTTCTACCTCCACAGTTTCGAGATCTGGCTGGCGACAACGGTCGTGTTCTTCGGTTCTGGTAACCTTGGCTTTACACTCCTTGAGTACCGCCTTGGCGAGAAGCCGCTTTTCTGGGGTCTCCTGATCAACTTGTGTTGGATTCCGTTCTTGTGAGTCTCGGAACCACCTCCGCCGTTTACCGCTTCTGATGTTATCGTCCCACCAGCTTCTTCTTCTTCGGTGGCCTCTCTATCCCCCTGAGTCAAGCGATCTTGGCCCACTTGTTCTCGTACAACATAACTTGGGGTGCCACCAACAAGGAGGTTGAGCGGTCCAATTTCTTCAAGGAAATCCCAAAGATTGCGAAGCGCTTTTGGTTCCCGATGACCGTCTCGATTATCATCGTCGCCGGTATCATCGTGGTGTCGCTACCTATCATGCCACCAGCATGGCGTGTTGACGGTACAGGCTGGGCCGTTATCTTCCCTCTTGCGTGAGTTTTCGCGAATCACGATTCCTTATCGGACTAACCGGTGTCATATAGGCTCGTCTGCGGCTGCCACATCCTCTTCCCTATCCTCCTCAACCCATGGCTGATGGTTTTCTCCTACTGAGCGCGTCCGCTGTGCATAGATACCCTTCCCGTGTATACCACCGTCTGGGTGCGGACGCTTATGTGCGTGCCCGGAATCAGACAATGCCCGGTTCCTACTCTCCCTTCCCGTCGCTCCTTCTCCCTGTACCTTCCGGTCTCTCCCCGGTGTTCTCCATCTCGTTGTTCTCACACAGCCATAGACAAAGACTCTTGACATTGTAATCTGCACTTTCACCCCGCTTTCATGGACTACATATTCACGATTGTCTACCAGCTTCATGTTCATTTCCGACGGACTATTTCCCTTTGCCCCATGCTTGCCTCGCGCAGACATCTAGTGGTCGAATATTCACTAGCGTAGTTATAGTAACATGACATCCGGTACATAGCAGTATTACGACCGTACCTAAAATCTATCGTGCTCAGTGCGCATGCGTCTCGTCGTCTATCTCTGACTCCGACTCTGATTGTGCCAGACCTGCGTGATCTTGGCAACTTGATACCAAGCGTGACTCGAGTAGAGCCACAACGAACTCCACCTTGAGCCTCAAAGTCTTCATCATCCTCGGAATCACAATAAGACCAGACTCGGCCGGTTAATCTACTGCGTGGCTATCTGAGACCACGGCCATCTCGGCCGGGGAGCTCGGACATCGGCCTCACTTTTTTGTGTGTATGCCCTTTCTTGTGCAAGCTGCGGGGCCAGATCCTTTTTGGAGCCATATTATTCTCATGGACGAGCCTCGGGCGAAGCGGCATGCTTCGCTATACAAACGGATCAACTTCTCCCTCAAGTTCCACCACTCGTCGTGGGGTCCGGCCGAGTACAGGTGGGGCACACACGGGAGGGGTTGAGATACTGTCCTTCGTTTCTCACATGGTCTCGTGCAAGCAACGCGGCTCAGAAAACGTTGTTGTTCTACGGTGCCGCGAACGGTAGACTCTGTGTACATCTTACCGCTGAATACATGGGTGAAACAATGGTGCGTAGGTTGGAGCTTGGAACATACTGCATCAGTTATGACGTCGCTGTAGGCGAGTCAGAAAGGTGCAAATGTGCACACGGACCATCGAGGGTCCAAAACATTCGGGAAATTCTATCAGGCTCCCCGTTCTGGTGCATTCCACGCGAAATCCGCTAGGCCGAGCGGAAGGAGAGACCCTGGACAGTCTGTCCTTTTTTCAGGGTGCATCAGCCTCTGGTGAATTAATTACTATGAGATGCGACTCACTACATCGGAGCGGTCAATATGACTTGTTGAGACATCGCATAGCAACAACCAGCAAAGCGTGATTATAAGAGGGAAAGGAAGCTGCTTGCGGCATAATTGAGAGGATGTGGCACCGCCAAAAGCAGGTCGCTGACTTTGTGTGACTTGACAACGGTCAGCGTTGCGGCCTAACTTTCAGCAAGACGATGGTGTGTGTTCAGTGGGTCTTGGAGCTAGCTGTAGACACAGCGCATTGTGACGTGAATGGCTAAGTGGCAACTTTAAAGAGACCGCGAGCTGGGAAATTTCAAAGCCAAATCGTGCTCGTTCTCTGTCCATCAGAACGTAACAACGGCACCGTTAGTTATTCACTTGTGGTCCGACAGAAGCACGGAGGGAGGATTTGCCTTACTGGGGAACAACTGGCCTTGCGAAGAGTCCATCCATCAGAGGCGATATTGAGATAAGGCACAGACGGAGGTAAGTGTGCTGCGCTGTTCACGCTCATCTGTTTCAAATAGCGCGAAGGAGATGTGTTTGTTTCTGAAGCTAGTATAAGTAAAACCATCTAGCGGGCGATATGCTTCAAGTTTATGTGCACATGTACAGTGAAAACCTCGCTCTTGTACAGCCGCACGCTGACACGACCCGCTGGCCGTACTGGAAGGGGCAGGCTGAACGGGCAAAGTAGGTCTGATTATTCCGCGAGAAAACTGCCAGGCGTCGGCAACAAAATTAATGGCTCACATGATACTAGAATCTTCCCCGGGGGCCTCGAAGCAGGCTCACCCAGACTAGTGCTGGCGCAGCACTGATGAGCAGCACTATCAACCCGGGCATGTTCTAGATCAGCGTACAAACAGGAAGTAAATTTCAAAAGCACTGAGCCGCTAACTCGACGCAAAAGGTACAAACTCACGCATATCCGAAGAATCATTGACGGGCAGAGAGACGCCTTCGATTCCGGCCGCAGCGTTCTCGTAGTACGTGCGGATTTTAACAGCAGATATGTGTCATTCGGCGAGTGTACCCGAGGCCAAGGTAAGCACGTTATCTGTACAAATTCTTCTGGTGAGTGCTGGTGATGTTACGGCCGAAAGAACTAACCTCATGTCACATAACATTAGAAGTCGGAGAGAAACATATCATGTGGCTCGGAGCGCCCGCGAGACAAGCAGGACCAAACGAAAGCGGGGGATGAGCCACAAAGCGCTCGTCCTCTGAATCTTTCGCAAAGGCCTGTCTGAAGGTGATTAGCCTCAGGTGTGCATCATTGTCAAGATGGTGCACAAGGTCGCGATGGTTGTCTAGTTGAGTGAAGTTGAGTGAAGAGCACGGAGGAAATGCGTAGGTAACTTAGTCACTATTTTGCCCGCCACATTTAGTACTCAGCCACTCACGCAAACTACAGAGGCTCGACGTTTGCGGCGCCTTCATGTCGACAGGGGATACTAGAGGCCCGCTTTGATAAAAAACAATTGGGCCCGTTCATGTACTCAGAAGTACATTCAGCCCTTACGAGTTTTCCGCCTTACTTTCGTGGCCGACTCCGTGAGTCCTAGTCCTCTCGAGTCTCTCTATGAATGCGCCGCATTTCAGACTTTCGCCCAGGCAGCGTTCTCCTGTTGAGACACATGCAGCGATGCACAATGACCTTTGTGAAGCTTTGCAAGCGTGGCGCATTGACCCGAACCCTGCATGGAGCTTAGTCCACCAATGACTCGGATAACGCGTGGTCCGGGCACTCGCTCTCTGTCCGGAACATTGTTATGCCAGAATTCGGCAGGAGTTAACAGCTTCATGACATAGATTAGCACGGGTGAGCGGTGATTTCCGTCCAAGTCGTCATAAGCTTACAAACAATGGACAGGCCGCCACAAAGGCATCGCGGCCGCGGCCTCGGCAAAGACGAGCCCATGATACATGGGGCCACATTTCCACGCCTCCAGTAACAAAGGAAAACGAGGACATCTCCCGTTATTCCGGAGCCACTCAGCGATCGAAGCAAAAGCAATACTTGCCCAAACTGGGCGGAAAATGGCTTGTGCCACTTCTCCTGCGGCCACGCTAGTCCAATCAAACATGGGGTGGGCGCGTCCGCCCGCTGTTTTTTTTGGTGTATAAGAGTGCCCTTGGATGTTGGTGGTTTTGAACAGCTCTACACCGGACTCTGCCCCACCATCATCCCAACTTTCTACAGCTCGCAATTATGACATCTGTCAGTGCCATACGCCGTATATCTGTAGCGTGCTGACATGTTTGCGTAGAACGCACTCGCGCGTGGACGGGGCAGAAGTCGTGGTAGGGGTAGGGGAAGAGGCGCAACGCCCACCAGAATCACCAGAACAACGCGTATTGTCATCGCAGACGAAGAGGACTGTACTTTGCCCGCGGAAAGTCCCCTTCGGCCTCTGGTAAGCCTCCGTCATGCCGCCAATCCGTCATCTCACGTTGCTCCAGAGCCTGGGACTGTCGTTGCCTCGGTTGGCATCGCCTTCTCGCGCTGCAAGCCCCACAGTACTCCAGTACACCTACTTGGAGGGCTCTGAATACGATAGCGAAGAGTCCAGCGAAGACGAGTCTGACGACGAGCGCAGTGGAGAGGACGAAAACAACGGTCGAGCGGTTGAACCGGCCACCCGGACTGAATGTCTGAGCGATGCTGCTGAAGATCCTCTGAACGGCGTGCCGCAGCGCCCGCTCACCCGCGACCAGCACGACAGTACGTCAAACATCGCACTCACCGCTGATTCTCATTCTTATCGAGGTCCATAGTCGAGATACTTCTCGCTGAGATTGAAGCCATTGGCCCGGAGCGCCGACCTCCATCTCCTCTTGGGTTTGGCCTCCGCGAGTATTGTTCCATAGGGAGATTCCTATTGAGCCAAGAGGATCAGGTCGACCCACTCGACGTTCAGGACATTCCTAGACATTCCGCCGAGTCATTCCAGTCGCAAGGTGAACTGAGCTCGCAGGCTATGGAGGGCGTTGATGGTGAGCAAGTTCATTGAACATGAATCGTGTCACGATACTAAAGCTACTTGATCGTTAGATTACGACACACGTGTATATGCCAGCCACAGCCGTCAACCTACTCCAGAAGGCGAAGGGGGCACATTCTGGCAAGACGTGATCGTGTACTCATGCGCGAGCGTTCAAGATGTATTCGCTGGCATCCCAGGCTATAAGAAGTCGCCAGAGCAGTCCTTACTTTCGAGGTGTGACTCGTCTCCGGAGCTACCTCCGACGGACGAAGACTTTGACACGCACGACGAGGAAGAGGACTCGCCTTCATTGTCAACAGTGCCCTTGAAGGATACTAACGGCAGAGCCAGCAATCCGAAGCGTCGTCGACGCCGCGAAGAAGAAGACATCGATTACGTGGACGACGCTGAGACCGACAGGGCCCGCCGTCGCCGTCACAAGAAGGCCAAGTTGCCGAATGGGCCCAGAGATCCAAGGCGACCAAAACCCAGGAAAGGTTTTGTGAAGCCGACGGTTAACTGCCCAAGCGACGGATGCGCCGCTGCCTTCGATGGGAGAAAATGCGATTACAACGAAGTCACGAAGCACTTCCGTGAGAAGCACGATTTGGAGGCGCATTGCAAGGCGTACCAAGCTCAGGGCAAGATCCCATGCCCTCTAGGTGGCTGCAGGCTGAAGACGAAATTCGGCTATTTCCTAGGCAGCAATCCCAGCAATATGCACAAGAATATTGGCAGACACATCCACCATACGCACATGCCGCATCCAAGGTGGTATTGCCAATACTGCGACAAAGGTTTTGACCGCAAAGATGCGGCCCAACGTCACATGGACGAAGCTGCCCACGATAGGCAAGCGGAGGACGGCGAGAACGCAGCGCGTCTTGATCAACAAGCGGCTGGTGTCCTGGACGGAGAGGAGTCGGAATAAAGCAAGAATTGAGCGTCCTTGTGTGCATATAGCTCCTTTCTTTCAACATGATAATATTACGGTCATTTATTTATTAGCTGGAGGAACCATTGATTATGTCCCGGTTATTTTCTATTATAATCTCGAAGGCCTTCTGACTTTAAAGCCGTATCACAAAGGGTCGAACGCGGCGTATCTCAGCGCCTACCCAATCGGGCTGGCCGGGTGGGAGAGGCGAGACGTTCTCAAGCGCCTGAAGGCTCATTCATTACCGCAACCTCTGCAGAACACAAATTACGTTCAACGGAGAGCTGTAGGCTTTGTCTAAAGGATTTGAGGCTTAGACGTGTTGTTTCAGTTTTTGCTGGCTCGCAACCTCGCTGTTGTACTTGGTGAACTACCCAACCGAAGCTTCGAGTACTAACAGACACCTTACAGGGATTTCCACTAGCCACACCTTATTATCAGAGGATACGTTGCTTGCGACAAACAATTCGTCGGACAGATCGCGCATCTGTCGGCGGGCAATGTGTGAGCACCGGTCCGGAGGTTCCTGTCGCGAACTGCAGGGCATTGTGCCGGCTTGGTCCAGTGGATGGTTGTCCGCATGCTCGCGCACTTCCCTGCCGCGAAGTAAGTGTTCTATAAACCTCAATTTCTCCGAGCACTTACGCGGGCCGCGCCCCAGTCATCTGCTGCTGATGTTCCCTTCCTTCGTGTTCGATTCTCCGTTGTGGTCTCGCACGAGGCGCAACATGGACGTGATCATGCGGCATTGGCTATTTGAGCAGTATAACTCTGCTCTGGAGGTATATATGAGACTAGTGCGCACACCACCACAGCAGTGTTCTCTCAGAGAACTCACCGAGTTTGGTTCCATAGGCGGAGATGGTCGCAGAACGCTTGCGATGGTCCACGCTTCTCGCGGGCTCAGCAATAGCTACCGCCACGTCGGCCGCTCCTTCCGGGTTCCCTGTATCTGGAAATGGACTATGGTACAGGACCCCAGGTACTATTTGGTCCAAAGAATGGCTTCCCGTCGGCAATGGATATCTCGCAGGTAAGTCGTAGTTCGCATTCGTAGGGTTTCAGGGGCTGAGATGGATATTGTAGCTATGACGCCCGGAGGGACCACATTCGAGACCACCCAGCTAAACATCGAGTCTCTTTGGTCTGGCGGACCATTTCAGGACCCTGTAGGTGCACCAACCCAGGGATATCTTTCTAAGTCCATTGACTTTCGAAATTGCATAGACATATAATGGAGGTAACAAGCAACCATCCCAACGCGCACAAATGGCCACGGATATGCAGAACATCCGCCAAACGATCTTCACGAACGGGACTATTGACAGTAAGCATGTGCTTAGCATCCGCCGGCGACTGCGCCTATTAAACTCTTACTCTACCAGATGTCGAGGTGCTCAGCACAGATCCTGGGGCGTATGGTTTGTGAAAACGTATCGTCTTAGATGTTTCGCAGCGTCTCTGATGCATGCTTTGCCTTAGGATCCTACTCTGGAGCAGGATACCTTCTCACGAGCTTGAACTCTACAAGCCACTCTTCAAATTATACGCGCTGGCTAGATCTCGACGCTGCCGTCGCCCGCGCTTCATGGAGTTCGGGGAATGGCACTTTGATCCGGTGTGCTTTTTCGTCCACAAAGCTTACTTTCCCTAGCTGACAACAACGTTTTGGATCGAACGAAGGACTTCGTTCTGCTCGCATCCTCTTCAAGCGTGTATTCAACACTTGTCTTCTGCCCCTTCCAGTACAATTCCGACGATCACGCATGCCTTCTCCGCTGCGCTAGAAGATGGCTTGCCGACGCCTACCGTCACCTGTCTCGACAATAGCACTTTGCAGGTCGAAGGGCTTGTGTCAGATCCTGGAATGGCTTACGAGCTGCTTTTCCGCGCAAGCGCTGTTGGAAACAGCTCTCGCGTTGCTTGCGTGCCATCAGGTACAGGGAATGCTACGCTAACCATCACCGGCGCGACGGAGGCATGGGTCACCTGGGTCGGTGACACCGAATATAACATGAATGCGGGTGATGCTGCGCACAACTTCACGTTCCGCCAAGAGCTCCCTCATGACAAGCTTGTGTCGCTCTTAGAGACCGCATCGCCGTCGTCTCAAACCCCATCGTCAAGCACGTACGCATCCCTGCTAGCACAGCATACAGCAGCATACACCTCCATCTTGGGCCCTTTCGCGCTTTCCCTAGGGCAGAAGCCCGATCTCACAAGCTCGACAGATGAGCTGAAAGCCGCCTATCAGACGAATATCGGCAACAGCTATCTCGAATGGCTCCTGTTCAACTTTGGGAGGTATCTCCTCGCGAGCAGCGCCCCCGGTGTGTTACCTGCGAACCTCCAGGGAAAGTGGGCGGACGGATCGTCTAATTCTTGGGGTTCTGGTACGCTGCTTTCTCTTCCTGCTTTGGTTGTCTGCCTCCTAAAGTCTTGTCGTGCCCTTTCAGATTATCGTAAGTCGAATAGTGAAGCCAACAGGGGGCCACTCAGCTGACTCCTCGAGCTGATAGACTCGAATATCAACCTTCAGATGAATTATTGGTTCGCAGAGATGACAGGCATGAGCAGTGTTGTGGTTCCATTGTTCAACTACATAGAGGCAAGTACTCCGTCCTCAGATGCACTTAAACATTATCTCACAAAGCACCAGAATACCTGGGCACCACGAGGTGCCTACACCGCAGAAGTGCTATACAACATCAACCAGGGCTGGGTTACACATGACGAGGTCTGTTTCTTATTTCCTCGCCTAAACTCATACTGATTGATTATCCAGATGAATGCGAGTATTGCAGGTCGTGCCTACCTTGCATGAATTTATGGTCCCTTTGCACACAGGTATTTGGCCACACAGGCATGAAGCTATCGGGGAACTCTGCGGAGTGGGCTGATTATCCCGGTACGTATCTTATAGGCATCACAGGAACGGCTGTGTAAATTGGAAATCTCGAATTTTCAGAGTCTGCGGTCTGGATGGTAGGGTAATGTGTCCACATAACGCCTTAGAGCTCACGCATGTCTCTACAGATGGTACATGTTTGGGATCACTTCGACTTCTCAGGCGACTCGCAGTGGTGGAAGTCGCAAGGGTGGCCGTTGCTGAAGGTTCGGGTAGCTTGCCCGCATATCGAAAGGCTTCCTCTAACATGCAATTTGATAGGGTGTCGCCCAGTTCCACATATCGAAGCTAATTCCAGATGAGCATTTCAACGATTCCACACTGGTCGTGGCTCCTTGCAATTCGCCAGAGCAGGTGCCCATCACGCTTGGTTTGTCCATCCACTTCTATCAGCTTGCGTTCTGCTTCGCAGAAGGCTCATTTTCGTCTGAAGGTTGTGCGCATGCGCAGCAATTGATTTGGCAGCTTTTCAATGCCGTCGAGAAGGGGTACGCCGCCTCTGGTGATAATGACGAAGCATTCCTGAGTGGTGAGCTCTGGTTGTACGCCCACCTGTAATGCAGTCTATGATGTCGTTCACGCTGCAGCGGTCCTCTCTCAACGAGCGCAAATGGATAAGGGCATCCATATCGGCTCGTGGGGTCAGCTTCAAGGTAAGCGACAAACATGGTACAAATGTATGACACTGACAGCTCCGGCGGAAAACTGTCAGAATGGAAGATCGACATGGACTCTCCGAACGACACACACCGCCACCTGTCGCACCTCGTCGGCTTGTACCCGGGATATGCGCTGGCTTCATACAATTCCTCGATCCAAGCGCCGCCACACGGGACAGCATATACCAAGGCGGAAGTGCTAAATGCCACGCAGACCAGTCTCATCCATCGTGGGAACGGGACAGGACCAGACGCAGACTCAGGATGGGAGAAGGTATGGCGCGCGGCAGCCTGGGCTCAGTTTGCAAATAGCTCCACGTTCTACGAAGAGCTTTCTGTGAGTGACGTCGCGCTCGAGCTTTCAAATTCCGTCCTCACAGGTCCTGGCGTAGTACGCCGTGGAGCGAAACTTTGCGCCGAGCCTGTTTAGCATGTACGACCCGTTCGACGCGGATCCTATCTTCCAGATTGATGCGAACTTTGGGTATCCCGCTGCTCTCCTGGTAAGTTACAGACTGCGACTCCCAATCACTCTGCAAGCTCATTTTTCGTGTTCAAGAACGCATTAATCCAGGCCCCCGATGTAGCGTCGCTAACATCGCCGCTCATCGTTACTTTGCTTCCCGCTCTTCCTACCACCTGGCCCACCGGCTCCATTGAATCTGCTCGTATCCGAGGCGGCATGTCTCTGGATATGGCCTGGGCCGACGGAAAGCTGACGAGTGCTGCTATCTCGGTGAATAGTTCGTCTGGAGCGGTGGAAAGGAGCGTCGAAGTGGTCTACCAAGGAAAGACCGTGGCGTCATTTACTGCTAGTCCAGGAGCCAATTTCACTATCCCGTAACAGAGGTGTATTCGAAGACCAATAACAGCTAGGGAATATATCAGGTCTTGCGTAGCATTATGCCCGAACCATTGCTAGTCCGTTTGATTGTAGGCTTGATTGGTGGTAGATCAATAAGCAAGTTATGCAATCTCGTTCTCTCTGTAGAAGTACCACAAATCGTACTTGTTCCACGGAGATGGGACAACCTTGTGGCCGGTAAGGTTATACCCGATGACCTTGTAGATCAGAAGCTAATGGGCAACGGCTCGTTTGAGCTGTGGCTGGACTAGAATGAGGATGGCAACGTACATTCGCGAGGTCGGTGGCGATGAGACTCATCTTCTCCCGTGGGTCGGCTGACCACGGAAGACCGGAGCACAACGCGTGGCGAGAGAAGGATAGGATCGATTCTGGGCGAATTTGCCAAACCGGACCTGTACAGGTCATCCAAGCCAATATATGGGTCTGCAAACTCAAGATCTGAGAGCCCTGCATCTGCGTCTGCATATGCTGTTTGTCCGAGCTGGCACATGTATGCCATAGCGCATAAATCGGACACCGCTATGGCAACAAACAGCACAAGCAGGCAAGATGGAAGCAATCTGGAGAATGGTCTGCGCACACCATTCGTGTGCTCTACATTTGCCGTTCCGTTCACCAAAGAGGACGAGACGATATACCGGCGCAGCGTCCATCATTGTCGAGTCCGCTCCGCCGTACACACTCCCAGGGATTGCGTACGTAGCAACGATCGGGCTCAACAGCCCACTGTCAATCGGTGTATGGCATGTTCACGGTGCAGCAGTGCCATTTTCAAAGCGTATTATGGCGTTTGCCATTGTGCTGGTTGGTGTATTTCAGTGTATCTACGCACAGCGTATTCTCATGGGTCAAACCCGGACCAAAGACACACTAGAGAGTAAAATCACAGTGCGCTTCGCCACTAGGCTTAGGGGAATCGTCGAGTGTGCTTCCTCTGACCGCACGACAGCTGTCGGACTGGAGGATCTTGTGAGCAAAAGCGTGTTTCCGCCATGGGCATGGTATTTGAGGACGGGAAGGATTGATCTTACTTTATATTCCGGATTTCTGATCATCTGCATCGTCTTTGTGAAGTAACCTAAGGTTTGGGCAGCGTCATGTTGAAACTTGAAACGCAAAATTGTGGATTCCAAGCTCCAGGAAATGCCAAAATGGAATTATGGACATTGTCACATTGGAAACAGAAGCAAAATCACAAAAACTAATGCATTAAGGGGGAATCGAACCCCCGGCGGGTCGATGGCAACGACCCAGGTTACCACTACCCCATTAATGCCCTAAATACTGATCCTTCGAATTAACTGATAGTTATAACACACTTTATACTCGAAGCAACGACGTCAGTGGTCTCAGCGGCGCTGAAGTTCCTGTTCGCCCGCTTGAGCCTCGTCCTCCCTGCAAACTCCTGTGCACAGACATAATTTCACGATGTCGACACGCCCGCTAAACGATGATGAGGTTATTAGCGAGATGAACAAGATGGTCAGTGGCTGCCGTCCCTGTGTGTCGTCCACATCCGCCGCGGAGTGCGCAGCGATGAGTGTTGATACTATCTCAGCTTCTTCTCTTTCCACTGGCCTTTGTAGGTAGCCTTCATCAAGCAGGAGGCTTTGGAGAAGGCGCGTGAAATTAAAGTCAAAGCGGACGAAGAGTTTGCCATTGAGAAGGTACGCGCTTCGAGAGTGACAGTGTTCATGCCAGACCTACGTGGAACACCTATGCACTTTGATATTTACAGGCTAGGCTGGTCAAACAAGAGCAGCAGGCCATTGATGCTCAGTTTGAGAAGAGGCGCAAGAACGCTGAAGTAGCTCAGAAGATGTATGACTACTCGCTACGTTGTACACTCATACTTGTCTCACTTCTCCTGTCGGGCAGCGCGCATTCAACCCTCACAAACAAATCTCGTTTGAAGCTCCTCCAGCAGCGCGAAGAGCATCTGCAGGATCTTTTCGATACCGCTCGCACCAACATCTCTGACCTTTCTGCTAATACGACCGCCTACTCCCAATTCCTCGAGACCAACATTTTGCAGGGCGTACTCGCTCTTCTTGAGACTCAAGTTACCGTTCGTGTGCGGCACAAAGACGAAGAGAGCATCGCAGAGGAGGCCGCTGAGTGTGCGGAGAGGAGGTACGAGGAGATCAGTGGACGGACAGTGAGGATCACTATTGAGGGCAGCCTGAGCGATGATCTGTGCGTACACACTTATTCCTCGACAGTGTCGATTGCGCATCAGAGCTGACAGTGTCTTGTCTAAACTTGTAGTGCTGGAGGAACTATCCTTATCAGCGGAAGTGGACGTATAACGCTCGATAATACCCTTGATGAACGACTGAGGTTGCTCGAGGACCGCGTACGTTGACCCCGGCTGCGTCTTAGGAATGACTCGCTAATGTTTCCTGACTCTCGTACCACTACTTGCCTATATTCTACAGATGCTTCCTGAGATTCGCCACGAACTCTTCGGCGCAAACGCCAACCGCAAATTTTTCCAGTAATCCGTGTCCACTATCCAAGATAGCTACCTGCAAACAATGATCACACGTGATGATGGCGCGAGCCGCTGCATGAATGCAAGATATCAATCAGTAGAGCAAAGACCGCATACACGCGGGTTGTTACTAGGCTTACAATCCAATCCTGTCATGACCGTCAGACCAGATGTATCAATTGCATTTTTCCTCGTACTAGCCGCAGTATGGTGCGCATAACGATGTCGGGTAGCCTAATTATCCTCGTTGGTTTCCCCCCTCCCCTCCCAGCTACTAGAGCCAGGTAGCCTGCTTGAGTGTCTGCGACCCAGAACACCTTTTCGCGCGGACTTGTCTAGGCAACGCTCCGCAATAGTATCGCCTTGTGAAGCAGAGCGTCTGGCGCAGGACACCCGCTATCACGGTAAAGGCAGGCTGCTGTTACGCCCCCGGCAGTGACGTCGCCCAGGTGCAGCCAGCACACCAACTAGCATGCATGAAAACATGGTAGTGTACGTTTATGATTTGCTTGGGGCGTCAGCTTCCTTTGCCATCCGCCTCTTGGCACGACTTCGAGTCGACTTGGAAAGCTTACGAATAACCGGTTTCTGGTACCTACAGCAAACGTTGGAGCAGGCCACACAAGAATCTAGCGACGTAAACTTACGTATGAGGCCTCCTGAGTGCGTGCGATAGCTCTTTCCTGCTTAGCGTGACCTTCATATACGCTACCTTCTTAATCTTGAGACTTCACCGTCGTCAGGTCCATCCGCGCTCACCGCAGAGCACACGACCACACTCACTGGTTCTTCCCCTGCAACATCGTCACTAGCTCCTTCCTTCTGCTTTCCTCCGGGTCTACCTCTTTGCCATGAGATAGGTCGAGCTCGCCGAGCTCATTGTACTGATACAGCCCCGAGAGCTGGTCTTTTTCGGCGAGCACAGGGTCTAGCAGTTTGACGTACTCGCGCTTGATGACCTCAACGACCGAGATGAGGCGCGGTATGAGTGCCATGGACGGATGCATCTTTTCTAGCTTGTTTTCTGCGGCCGCAGGTGTGGATGCGGACGCGGGTGAACACGACACCGCGTCCCGCTCGCGCGCGGCGGATTGCGACGGGACAGGGAGTGTATGTAGAGTTAGTGGCTTGTCCGGGTTCTCCTGAACATTCGAAGATCAGTAGGTATGGGCCCACGCGCAACATCAGACAGTGCGTACTTCGAAGAACTTCAACGCGAAGTCTACCCAGACGTTCATCTTCCCGTGAGAAGTAATACGAACTTCGTGAGCATTAAGTTCGTTCGACGTGTTAATCGCGCCGGCGGACATTTCTGCACTTGTCATTAACAATATCAAGGCGATACTGTACTGTTTGGGTGGTAGTAGTAGCAGGTCAAGAGGCGACCTCGAGGAGCAGCACACGGCGCTTGCACATTCGCTCATATGCACTCCAGTCCGCTCTCTGAGCGTGCCGCACAAGGTACGCAACAATGAGCACTGCAACCAGATACGCATACGAATAGAAAGTATGTTCTACATCCATGGGTCCAAATGAATCCCGCCTAACGTATAATCATGCAGCACTGACTCCTCAGAACAGTCCCACCAAATCTGCGAACGGATCCTTTCCTTGCACCTGCGGTTGCTGTGGTTGCTGTTGCTGCTGCTGTGCCTGAGTCGGCTGCAGGCCTAGACCCGAACCCGGGCCCCCCGCCGCACCGCCAAGACCGTTTGTGCTGCCGCCTAAGGGCACACCGCCTACGGAAGACGTGCCGGTGTTCGAACTCGCGAGGTAGTTGGGCGACGGCGAGCCGAGACGGAGTGCTCCCTGCGCGGGAGGTGGAGTGCCCGTTACTGACGAAGATCCTGTCCGCTGCACAGGCAAACCCTGCGAGAGCGAGCTCGCGAACGGTGGACGAGCTTGTGCACCGAGGACACCACCCGTGGGCTGGGGCGAGTACATGGAGGAAGGAGTGTGCGTGCCGCCCGACCTGCCGCCCATGCCAAGCTGTGAGAAGAGATTGGCATTTGGACTTGAGTACTGCTGTTGTTGCTGCGGCACACCGTATGCCGATTGTTGCTGCTGTATTTGCTGAATCTGCTGTATTTGTTGTTGTATGGGCATCGGCTGTTGCTGCTGCTGCTGTGACGTGGGATTTGAGGGACCAGAGCTAAAGAGATCGGCAAGCTCGTTGACGGTGCCGCCGCCGCCGCCGCTAGCCGTCGTATTTGACGGGTGTGCACTGTCGTCGAAATCGATGAGGGAAACTCCCTGCGAAGACTGGGAAGCGAGCTCTCTGGGTACTGGATTTGCTGCTGCTGCGTAATCTCCGCGCTTGAAGGCCTCGTAGCGGTCGAGCACAGTGTTGATCTGGTCATTTATGTGTAGGAAGGTGTCTGCAAACAAGATGATGAGCTTGAACCGAATGTGCAGTATAAAAACTACACACCTAACGACTCCGGATCGTCGGTCTCAGCATTCGATATCCAGCCCTGAATCTTCGGTCGTGCACTCTTCAAAATCGACGCTACTTGCTGTACAAGTTGTGAGAAGGGATGTATTATATAACCAAAACGGAGACATACGTCATACACATCGCCCTGAGCAAACTTCTCTCCTCGTTGGGAGTCTACATTATCCAACATTTCGTTCAAAAGAATGACTTTGCTTTCGAGCTTGTTAAGCTCTGTCAAAGCTTGTGTTCGGTAGTCTGGCTTGGCATCCGGATTTGCGCCCGCTAGGGCTTTCATAAGCTCCTGTGCCTGCGCAAGGTCTCGCGGTGTGCCCCGACGGATGAGCTCTTGCAGCTTGGCCTGCTGCGCTTCGCGGTCTTCATTTTCGAGCTCTTCAGCCGTCTTCAGATTCTGTGATCCAATGAACTGATGTTAGCTCTAGTAATCCCCCTCGCAAAAGAGCGAAAGACATACGGATGTGGCTTCAGCTGTTACGTTATTCCTCCCAGGCGCATCCCTGAACCTGTATCCTTTGAACGTCAACAGCCTGTGCATGTCTCGAATGTTGCCAAGGTCATCCTTGAATCGGCTATCGACACATATGCCCTCCTTCCAGCCATGAATAAACTCCAAGATCTTTGACATAACGGGTCCCGGATAGGGCGGAGGACGTTCCGGGAACCGTCGGACAAGCTCGTTGAGAAATTCCTTCGTCGCAATCTGCAGATGGAAAGGATATCCACAGTTCTGTACAAGCGTATCGAGGAGTGAAAGAGCGAGCATTGCGACGTGGGGGTTGCGATGGTTCACGAGCTGTGCAACAGTTATCGCCGCATCTCGTGGGCTTCAAAGAGTCCGACGCAATATCACATTGTCGGGTCATTGGAAAAAGCGTAGGAGAGGACAAAGCACATAAGTTTCTCCTGTAAGGACGGACGGACGGACGGTGCCTGGACGTACGTGTTAGCCTTCTTTTGGTTGATGTACTCTGCTACCTCGAGGTTGAGTGCATAGTTGGGTTCAGGCTGCGATGGATATGTTGCGCGCGCAATCAGAGTCTTCAGTGGCGAGGACTCTTGGAGCCCCCATGGTGCAGAAGCTGTCGGAAACATTGCCCAGGTTCTGATGATCGTGTAGAGTCGGCTTACAAGTGCTGCGCGAGGAGCTGCAAGATGTACGCACCCTTTGTCCCTCGCCCAATTGCTGTCAGCCTCACGATCTAGGCCCGAGCCTTCCGGCTGCCCGCCACTGGATTCTGGGGATTATTAGCGTCGGTGTCGGAGGGAAGGTGCAGCACGGTGCCGTCAGTGTCGAGTCTGGGATGACACAGACGTGGACAAGCGCGGTCAGATTGCCCAGCACCGATTCCATCACCCGCAGCGGCTCTTGTCTTCTCACCTTTTTTCCACGATCACCACTCGCGGCACCCGTCCAACTCATTGATCTCTAGGACCAGAACATCGTCCTGATGCAAGTACGAAATTTTTGAGGACAAGAGGGAATGCTGCTGTACTCTGCAGAAAGCTTACTACCTTCTTTGTCGCACCATATGACCCCTAATCCTATGCTATGCGAAGAACATCGGGAGATTGACTCCCTTTGATGTATACAATCTCGTTACATCCCTTACAGTTCTGCTGGCTACCCAAGGTTTCCTGTGCGAGTCATTGTGCAAGACGCATCTGGCGACCTCAGCCGGACCGTTTTCTATGGTGAGCTGCATTCGATGTGTCCTAGGAGAGTGTCTGCTCTTGAGTCGACCGTAGCCATTTTGGTCCGTCTTCTGTTCTCGCCGATTTCGTTGTTTCGCTCCTGATTGCTGTCGAAATCATTCACAAAGACCCGGCCATCGTTCAGGATGTCGTTGGCGTAGACAAAGTTAGGCTTGAAGTCCAGACACGTATTGATGAGCCTTGACACGATCACTGATTAAGGGAGGATACAAAGGCCCGTATGCGTACAGAAAAGCCAAGGCTGTGTATGAGCGACATTGCTTTGCAAACAGTCGCCAGCTAACTATGTTCACCATTCACCAGCCAATCAAGAGATGGTCTACTCTGTCGGACGAGTTAGGACAGCACTAGTTATCTGGTTCTTGATTCACTAAGTGCAGTGGGAGGAAAATGATGTGCTGCAGTCCCGGGAAGTTCTTTAGGAACTTTCGCAGTACTAGTGGGCAGATTCATCCCAATAAATATGGGTTGAAGACCACCAATATATCCTAAGTTCCGCCTAGGCTTCCCCGCATCATCATACGCCCAATCGTTTCTATAAGCTAAATTGGAGGGTGTGTAATTTCCAACAGCCCGCACAGTTAAAATCCCCCTCAAGATCACTTGGAGGATTGCCAGCGCCCGGCCCCGAATGGCCACCTTGGAGGAGCGGCGGTTCCCGCGCGCCACAAAGTTTCCAGCGCTATTTGCCTCAAAATCAAGGCTGTCTTATCACTCGCTGTGCTTAAAAGTCACGACGACTACTATGATTTGAAAACCAAAAGATGTATGGATATGAGCCTCTACCAACAAGACATGAACTGGCACTCAGGCAGCTGGCAATATTCATCTCGCACCAAAACGGCAATATCACTAGTACTATATTCAAGACATCGTGCGAATCTCATCATGGTATCCTCAGTGAGTGATCCATTCTTTAAACACGGTTAAGCTGCATTTAACGTTTACTGCTACGAGCTGCAGAGTTGCGTTCGAGTCCTAAGCTTCCTAGCGTCTAATTGTGTGATGCGCCATCATCTCCGGCGTTCTCTCGCCTCTAGCGCTCTCATCTCAACACTGACCTCGAAATTTGACACATACGTGGAACGTTCGCTGAAGAGCGTAGAGCGGACCGTCTACTTGTACCCAAACATAGATACTGTACAATAGTCACAGTGCGCTTCCTTCGGTAGATGAGCGGCCACAACCAGACCTCCGGGTGACTGCTAACAGTGCCGAGTGGCAACAGCCGTTTTGCGGAATTACTGTAAGAAGTTGTGTATTGCTTTACGGTGGAAGTATCTGAAAGAATTTTATCATGCCAGCGGCAGACCTCAAACAGCACGAGTGCTCGGATAGACATCGCCAGCCACAGCTACAAGCCCGAACTCCGCTGTGATATGGCTTTCCCAGGGAGCCACTCGATGGGTGATGGGAGCTGTAGAAAAGGGTCCAAGACATTTCTGTCTCCCCCTATACCCAAAGAGGAAGTTTGAGCGGCCCTATACATCACGCCCTTACCCGCACCCAGATCACTGGACGGTTGGGATCAGACAATGACAATACCCGTCTCAAAGTGACAAAGGGCAGTGGGAACTGCATTTCATTTCCTGCCGCACCCACTCATTTTCGGGGTAGCCATCAACACGTTTGCCTTCTAACGTGGTGTAAGGTACAAATCGCCGGCTTTTCGCGCGAGTGGCCACTCATCAGAGGCCGCTCACTCCTGCGTCCAAATGCGGAAAACTTGACTAATGTTATATAGTCTCGCTTTCCTTCAATCGCTTTCCCATACCCCCGCTTTTAATTGCTCTCTTTTCGTGCCATAGGCAGGACTTCTCCACCTACATTCGCGCCATGGTTCTCCACCTCACCTTCACTTGCGATGTTGGTACCGACGACGCGTCGAAGCTCTCCATGAAGGAGAATGTTTTTCCCGACGACTTTGTCCTCGAATCCATCACCGCTACCAGGACGACACGATCGAAGCTTCGTTCGGCTGTAGTTCTTCAGGGAGAACCAGCCGAAGGCTATCCCGTTGTCGCCATCTCCGAAACGACTCTCCCCTGCACCAATGATATTAGTGTCCCTAGCCGCAAGGACAAGGGAAAGGCCACAAAGAAGCTAACGTCGAGCGCTGTAAGAACAGTTTCTCAAGCCTTCCCACCATTTGATCCTGACTCTGCCTCCCAGAGCAACAAGGCTCGCAGTCCAAGGCCGTCTTCTGAGGGAAAGGGATCCAAGAAGAAGGATGTACGTTGTCTTTCGCGTCCTACTGATTCGAACAGATTCTCACTCGGATTTAGGCTAAATGTCCATGCCCATTCAAGGAAGACGGCTGTGAGGGGAGGTTTCATCCGACAAATCACGATGCGCGCAGACATATGGAAATTCACACCTTCTCGTGGCAGTACGTGACTATCTATGAACGTCGGCTGTGTACGTTACTAATCACGGTTCAACAGGAAAGGTCTCTACTGTGCTAGGTATTTCCCGCAGTGCGCGTACACGGCTGTCCAAGATGGCAACTTTAGGACGCATATCTTGAAGCAGTACGTGTCTCGTCCAACGTAGACGTTGAGTCTATACTCAATGATTATGTCCAGTCATCAGGGAAACGGGAGCAACATGACCATTTGTCGAGCTATCTTCCAGCAGGCTGGCCCGAACGGGAAGCCGTGGGTCTGCAACCATTCGTGTTCAGGCGGGAGCCCGCTGAGCCACTGGCGTGCCGTGCACGGGACGACAGAGCCAGAGACCTTTGAGGGTACTTGGTTCGGCGCCGTGTTTTGCTCTATCGACGAGTACTACCAATACCATGGCACTACCCCTCCGATGAACTACAGGACAGGATATCCGTTCCGCTCCCACCCCGTCCGTTACCCCAAGGCTGTCGTTGACGCGAAGATCGCTGAATACGGCGGCAAGTGTGGATGGTCTACCGACCGTTGTGACGAGTGGACCGAGAAAGAGATTGGGAACTTACCCATGCTCTATACCAGGGACGGCGGCGAGGTGGAAGCTGATGAGTCTGAAGAAACGCCTGTGTTCTACATGAACGCAGAGGCCTCGACGGATAGTGATGGCGAGATCATCGACGCCGGGGCAAATCCTACTCGGCCTGCCCTTCCTACCTCGCCACAGGACCACGCGTTTGCATCTTGTCCGCCCTCTCCGCCGCCAGCGGGGTGCACCGGCCCCTGGGAGGAGTTTCCTAAGGAATGTGCCCACCACGATGAGTTCCACCGCATCTGGGTACTCGAAGGCCAAATGCCAGAGAACAGCTACGAGCCACATTGCCAAACGTACAGCCTCCACCAAAAGCAAAATTCTATCGCGACCCCGGAAGGCAGCAACGTTGCCGAGCAGCAGCCTCTAGCGGTAGCACCTGCTTTCGCACCTGTGTCCTGGGGCATGCAGCAGCCAAGCGACGCGTCTTCGACTCTCACCGAGTTCGCCTGGGCTCTCGAATACTTCCACCAACCCGCTACACCTCACGGTACCCTGCAAGGCTGCCTCGTACCGCCATCAACTCCTTCGCACATCCAGTCGTACTACGGGTTGGAAGCCCAGAGCCCCAGTGGCGACCTATCTCACTACTACAGTTCCGCACACCCTACGTACGCGCCTTGTCCCCCGGTGTACTCGCAGTATCAGTCTCCTCCTGTGGTATCCTCGGGCTGGTCATCGCAACACACGTCGTCTGCTCCGACCCGACAGCCTAGCCCTGTGCGGTCCGACGACGAGCAGGTTGCTGTAGAGGCTCTTCTGGGTCTTGGCTCCAGCAAGCCATAGTGCCGCCCCTTCACATTTCTCGTCCGTTTCCCAACGTCAGTCGTCTTTCCGATTTCAATACGTCTTCATTTCCTAGATCCATTATGCTGCATATATGTTGCTCTCGTTCCATGCGTGCGCCACTCGTACTTGCTCACATCTCTCCGCATTTTGTATACATTATCATGCTATCACGTCTATCCGTCTCTTGCTCTCCTGGTCTTGTTCACTGCTACCTGCTTGTGTATTTTCGTCCCACGTGTTTCGTATACTTAGTGTTATCCAACGGGTACAGACTCGGAGCGTCTTCAATCGTGGTGCTGTATGAGACGGCAGCATACATCGGGCCCGTACCTGCCAGAGCGATGCCAGATGTCTCGCGACTTGCAATATTACTGCAGTCCACGCGACACTAAGGCACGGAGACTTCTGCATCCGATGCTAGTCTCACTCCGACATCATAAACAAAGCCCAGCCTAGCCCAGCAGTACGAAGCAACCCAGCTCAGCTGGTGACCCTGAGACAGCTGTACAGCGTACGTGTCCTCAACTAGTGCCGATCGCGAGGCCCACGGCGATTTCGCGAGTGCGAGTCAGGCTGCGCCCAATAAACAGCTCTCTCCGAGTCGGGCCGACCGCCTACAGTTGCCAGGAGAGATCTCAAACAGCGTATGCTGATGCTCGGCGATTATCATCTCACAGCAGCGCCAGCGGTGTATGCGGTAATGCTGTGTTTTAGGCGATATATAAGACATCGCCCGTCGTTCAAGCACCCTCTACTGCTGGCAGTCACCGTCCTCGGCCCCATTACGTTCTTTCTACGGCCTCTGTGCCCTCCTTCCGCCCATTCGCTGGTCGTCTGGTCCTTCTTTCGCACTTGCTACGCCCAACTTCGCCTTTGAAGTGCTACGAAACTCATAGCGATGAATGAAACATCAGAGCAGAGAGCTATCATGACCCGCGTCGAGCGTGTGAAGCACGCACGACGTCATGCGTTGAGTATTTTCTCGTGTGCTGCGCACGAGAACGTTTACTAACCTTGGTCCAATGGCAGTGCACGTCTCAGAGAACGCACGCTCTCTATACCGCCAATTGTAGTCATCAAGCCCTCTGGGGATGATTTAGGTCACGACACGAGGCAGGAGCTGCCCAGGAACGTCAATTCGAGTAGGCCGAAGAGCCTCCCCGACCTCGCGCGTTCTAGAGCTTTCGAAGCCCTCCTGAATAACGGGGACGCGTATCTTCATCCTCACTCCGCAGTGGAGAGATGCGCGCGCACAAGCGGCTGTTACTATGGAGCATCCGAGCACCACAGCTGCCCTGTCAGTCCCGTGTCCTGCAACCCACGGTCGGCCAACACTTCTCCGTTGCGGCTTGATACTCGCTACGGTAGCATTGACTACAGGTACATGGAGATCGCGATGGAAGTTGTCGAAGAGGCTGCTCGCATCTGTGATTCTCCTGGTCCCTTGCCGACAGACGTGCCTCTGGTATTCTCTGGAATAAATGCGCGTACTATCGATGAGTTCAAGATTTGGCTGATGGCGCGATACGACTACCGCGGGCACGCGGGCAAGCTCATGGATGAGGCCGTCACTCCTGAGATATTGGCTTTAGACATCCTCAGTACGTCCGCTCCCACGTCTCATTCGTGCCCACACTGACAGATATGTACAGAGCACCTGTCAGAGTCTGATGTCAGCCCGCTGCTCTCCGGTATCATCCCTATCGCGCTGGCGGATTCATGCAAGGCATCGTCTGTGCACAAGACACCATCTGTGCATGTGCCTGCCGGGTCATCACAGCTGACGTCGACCGAGGCATGTCGCGCCCAATCGCCAATATCCCTCTCCGATGTCTCACCGCGTCGTCATCGCCTGCGTACAAAGAAAGATCTGACCATTGAGCTCGCTCAGAGCCCCGCGAATGCGACACACATCCTTCCCTCACCTGCTCTACCGTCTACGCCGGTGCCTGGGAGGACACAGCCCGTCTCTGCCCGGTCCCGCGACGCGGGGCCAACCGAGCCGCGGTCAGGCAAGAAAGCTGGGTGCGTAACGACTGTCTCAGCCTCAGTGTTTTGTGCCTCACGGGACTGCGCCACACAGGTTCGTCGTCGGCCTGCTAGCAATGGGAGCCCTGCTCAGCCGGTCTCCCTCCACCCCCTCTACGTTCGACCACAGGACCGCGGGGACGCCCCCGAGCACGCCCGCGCCGTTCGCGAGTGCATCAGCATCCTTCATGGACTTGCCCCGTACGCCGCACAGCGCGTCGGGCTTCGCCGGGTGGTACGGCGCTCAACGCGAATCGCCGCACGGCGAAGTCCGCTTCCTCAGCCCGCCAGAGTTACTTTCCATCACAGACGAAGGCGCGGATTACTGTTGGTTCGCACTGAGCCCGTCGGGGGAACGTTGATGATAACTTGCTTAAACCGTTCTTACAAGTTATCTTGGGGCCTTGAATGATTTTGATAATGATGATGACTGTGATTCCAGTCTAGTAACCGCGAGTGAGAGTCGGTTGGCCATGAAAAGTACGCCAGGAGACTATAGAAGACGAAATGGTATACCGAATAAATGGCATAATCAATAATCATATGCCGGTAATACAATCACATCTTCATGACATGTGTCTGGTCATACTCTGCTCTCCACTTCGTCCACCCCTGCAAAGGAATTTCGCCACAAAGCCTCGCTGTGATTTCATGCAGCTCATTTAATCCCTAGGTAGCTCAGTCAGCTGCCTCACGCATCTCAAGACTCAGCTAGACACTCACATCCACGATTTGGAACACGGCACAGATCGCGGTGGCATAGAACATGAACTCGTAATTCGCGATTTGGTCGAGGTGGTTCTTGTGTACCGAGTCCTTAGCATTGTCATCATTCCCAGCGAATGTGTGGCGTCCGACAGTGCCATGGTAATGTAGTCTATCGAGCAGGTTCTGGTGGAAAGGCTGTGGAAGGGGCTCCCCAGTGCGTAGGGCCTGTGAGACCAGCGAGAAGGTAGCCATCACATCTGAGATCTGCGGAAAGTCAGCTGCTGACGTGAGACTGGGATATGGCCACTGACAAAGTTAGGGTTGACAGCCATTGTGCGCTGCAGGAAGCCAGCACGCATCGCAGGGTCGATCTGAGCCAACGCACTCGCAAGCTTCACGGGGAGGTGTCAGCACTTCCACAGAAAGCCACAGAGACACAACGCACTAGGGCAAGGCTACTCATCATGTCCGTCTGCACGTTTGCGAGCCTCATGTACTCCTCGGATGGCCATGCGCCGCGGATGCTGCCCTCCCACTTGGCTATGGCCGTCTGAGTCTTGATCGCCTGGAGCTGCGTCGCAAGTCTGAGGAACTTCTTGCGTGCGTTCGGTAGGAGCTCAGTCATGGATCCATGTGCGTGACGCGCGCTGGCGCTGCTGATCCATACGGCCATGATGTCCGAGTACAGGAAGGAGAGCGTGGATATATTAGAGGCATTGCGCAGCCGGACGGCTTTGCGTCCGGACTTGGGCGGAAGCATCATCACGACGAATGACGCGGCGCAGCCTGCAGTGGAATGTAAGCCTCGCCCAATGGTAAGAAGGTGTGGCATACCGATGATCACGTTGACGAAGCGCCTCCATGCTACCTCCCACCCAAGTCCCGGATTACCGGCAATGTGCAAATGCCCGTCAATCCAAGAGTACCCTTGGACCAGGATGTAGGTGGCCTGCAGGGGTAGCGATTAGCCCAAGAATACATACACAGCGTGAATACCTACACCGCCAAGCATCACACCTGATAGATACTGCGGGGGAGAGAACAGCCTCAGGAAGACGAGAGGAACCAAGAAGACAGCGACAGTGGCGGCCGAGCCGTATGGGCTACCATTGCTTTTTGCATCGCCTGTGGTAAAAAAAAATAAGCTCGTATACAAGACACAAGAGCGTCGAACAGCATACCTATGTACCAAGAGAGCAAACCTAGCACAGCACCAATGAATGTGCCGAGCAGGCGAGTGAAGTAGCTAGATTTATTCTTGTTGAGACTACGCTTTACCGTGACAGTACGTTGCTTACTTGAATATCTGGTCGGACACGAATATATTTAACGTTGTCTGTGCCATGATGAGGGACCTGGAAGCGTGTTCAGTTAGTCCGTTTTCCTTGAAGTATGCTGATCGTCATACCAAAGGCCCTTGTTAACATAGATAAAGTCTTTCTACTCATCAGTACCCATTCATATTCATCGATGCAGGGGGCAGACTTACTTGCACTTGTACGGACTACGGCCGGTATGTATAATGCAATGGAGATGATAACATATCTGAAGCAGAACTAGCCTAATGTGAGCGAAATGAAGAGGAGAAAGTCGTGGTTGCACATACAAGAGCTTCAGGTGTTTTGGTCCATTTATACAGAGAGTGCAGGCCGTTAGCAATTCTTTGCAAAGTATTCGTAGGTGGCCTACTATCAGGATCGCGTCCTACCCAGACATCAGCTATCGTTCCCGAGAGAACAGTTCTATAGCGCACGATACGGTCCCTCCTCTTCCTTGACCTCCTCATCAGGCTGGGGCGCGTGGTCTTCGCCTGCAGCCTGGTCGCTCGTGTCTCCCCGAGACATGATGGCCCTCCCCAGGGCGCGCAGTCCGCCAGGGGCCCACAGACGATTCTTCCTCCGTTTGTGCGCCGTCAGCTGAACATACTCCATCAGCCCGATGATCGCGTCCGTAAGCACGACAAGGTTAGTCGCGAATACGAACGAGACGTAGAGGCTGCGCAGAGGGATGGCGCTTGGCTGTAGCCTAAGCGGCTCCGACGTCCTCGCATCTTCGAGAACGCTGCCAAACGGATGCAAGAGCTGCAATCGGCGCGAGGTCTTAAACTCTTCGAGTGCGGTGCGCAGGCGCTCCAGTGCAGCGTCGAAGTCGACGAGGTGCTGGTCGGAATCTTTGACACCTTTGCTGGCATACCGCCGTGTATTGATGCTGTCGAGCACTGTCTTCGTCGCGCGCAGACCATCGGAACAGGCGGAACGCAGGTCTGCAGTGGACTCTTCGATCACGTGCATAACGTCGTGCATGCGCACAGAGTAGGCCGACTCCGCGGTATGGTGCTTCTGGCGGAGCTGGCGCAGGAGGGGCGTGTCGCCAGTGAATCCGTGTGCATCCTCAGCGGCTGAGGAAGGTGCACTAGAAGAAATGGAGTCTTCGCGGGAAAGAGACTGGTCTGGCTCGCGCGAATAACGGTGTCCGGCAAGCTTCGCGAAGGTATGCAAGGCAGCTACAGACGTAATGTAAGCATACGCAAATATAGATACGTATGCATGTCCTACCTGCCCGGTTAACCAAGAGGACAAGCGGTTCTTTCAATCCTGTAATATCATCGGCATTCCATTTGCCCCAACTAAATTCGGCCCCAATGAAACTCAGGGAGCTCATCACTACCTCCCAAAATAAGTTATCTAATTATTCCTCAATATAAATTGTGACATTACGTACTCTGCTGAATATGCGCGAGGACTGCCACTCGCAAGCCTTGTACCTTGGAAGCGAGCGGCGTCCCTTCGGCAAGGTCGTCGGGAGAAGCATTGAGGATCTGGTGCTGCAGTTCTACAATGTCCTTCAGACGTCCTATCAAGGCGGAAGTGGACACCAGTGTTGCATGATTCAAAGTCTCAGGGAAGATGAATAGTATGCAAATAACGCCGATGCCGATATAGCATGCAACCGACTCGAGGAGGGAATTCATGAGGGTATACTGGGGGAAGGGGAACAAGGCGCCGTAGCTCTGAACACAAGTTCCAGTATGAGCACAAGATGCAGACAAAGAGAAGAAGAGGGCCTACGCAGAAGATATCCAACGCAATAGTGCCAAAAATGCTCGTAAGCAGCAACTTTGGTGTATACGATCGCATCAGAGCAAAGAGGAAGCAACCAAACCCCAAGAAGACTGCGAAGATGATGGATGACCTGCGACGCCTGGCAGTGAGCAGGGCAATCGGACCTGATTGTAGATACACCCACGCAGTGTCAAGGAATTTGCCAGCAAATATATCTGCTTGGAACAGGGCATCCGGATTGGCTAAACCCGCGGCACTGTATGAAAGTGAGACCGGGAGCAGCGACATGGCTGGATATATGCGCACCTTTGAGCCTCCCTTAGAAGACTTTGTTTGAGGAGGAGCTGGTTCCTGGAGGCGAGAGCAGCTTTCATGGCAGCCGCGCCCAATGCCCATCCCAGGCACATGCCAAGGATCATAGTTGTAAGGACCTGGATGGATATGCAATCAGCCGCTGACAGGTGCTGGGGAGATGATAAAGTCAACTGACAAATAGGAAGAACTGCACTGGCAAATTCGCAGGCGCCATAAAGCTTGCAAGGAACGCAAAGAACGCACTACAAATTTGAAATCAATGAGTATTTTTATTGACTTTCTGGTCAAGAGTGTTGAAGGGCACGTACGCGTTTCCTAGCTCCTTCAGAGACGCATTGGGCAGCAAAATGACATAAGCGGCCCAAGATGCGATCCAACACCTGAGCCATACCCTCCTAGACCTCGAAGAACGCAGATTAGTCGCGACCCAATCAGGCAAATGTAGCCTATCCAGCAAGGGTTTCTTGGTAGCAGCTGAGGAGGGCTGATCGTGAGGTCTGTCGTCGGAGGCGTGCTCGCCAGCTTTCTCGCCGTGCATCTGTGGCGAGCCTTCCTCGTTCGCAGACTGAGCTGTTGAGGACATGGTGGTTTGGAGCAAGTGGAGGCTGGCCCGCGCGCGGAGCTGTCATGTTGAATCCAACTGGACTTTACATGACTTCCCCTTCCCGGAGGCGGAGGCATTGCTCATAATCCCCGTTACGTCACGCGTCGGTATTTTCCCTACCAATCACATCTCGCGTAGCGTCGGTCTCTGCGCGTGATTGTCTGCGACGGTCACAGCCGGCGTTGACCCAGTCCCCTTTGCCGGCTGCGTACACTACAATTTGCGTCTTGGGCCGCACATAACCGCTATGCAAGGCACGAACGCACACGCTCGCCCGAAGCCGAAGTAACTTGAACCTGCTCGCTGTGGACGATACCTAAATCCTCGAGGGACAGTGAGGGGCACGGCGAAGTGCGAAGTAACATGGTGCTCGAGGTGCGGAAGAAAGACTGCCATCGCTCCGATTTCTGACTGTATCTCGGAGCTTCCTGTTCAGAAGCCGGTGTTCCTGCCATCTTTTCCATCCTTCAACCCGGGTTCAAACTCACAACGACCCTTTTCCCTTATCCAAGGCCGGCCCTCAAACCCCTCGCCTCCGCCTCCGCATTGGCGTGATTGGTGCGTAGTGTGCACTACCAGATCTAATACTGCTGACTCTCCGTAGGTCTTTAGCCTTTGGGCTCTTCCTGGCGCCGTTGGCCGCGGCCATTTCCCGCGCATGCCGGGCCCCTGGGTGCGGCGACGGGTTACCGCGGCGTCGAGCGTGGCCGCCAGCGTGCAGAAGCTGTCGAGGTCAACCGCATCTGTCGCGAACGAAGATTGCAAACAGAGCTGTCTCCGCGTTCCCGCATTCTTCTCAGTACACCATCGCAAAACCGCTAAAGATCTGTTGTCACCGCCTGCGGACACTCAGCTGGGAACTGGTGCTACACCGGCTTTGCACTGCTGTGTTGGAATTAATAGGGTTATTTCTTCCAGTCCCTCGAAGGTGTGTGTCACCATGGTTTCAATATGTATCTCTCGGCGACTTGGCACTGAGGCTTTCCGGATCGGTCATTCTAGCGAGTACGAGCCTCAAGTGCGAAACCCGCGCAGTCTACTGCGTCCGAATTTGCGCCGGGTATTGACAGCCATCTCTCCGTAATCTAGGAAGGTCAAGGGCTTTACATTCCTGGAGAAACGGCACCGGCGCTCGACCTATAGCACTGCTCATCGACGAGCGTTCCCAGCGCAATTACGGCTCCCTTTCCTCACGGTGACCTCATCAAAACGTAGAATCGTCCGTTCGAAATGGCCTTTTCCCTCTCCCGCGCTTACATGGCTCGAGTCCGCGTTCTCATCGGTCCAACAAGTTGATATATCACCCCTCGCAGGGTTTATATCTAACAGGGCTTGTCCGGGAGTGTCTCTTGGAGATGTCCGCCTTCTGCCTTCGCCCACTGTGGAACATTCATGGCCTCAATAGCTGCTCCCTCATCACTAGCACAGATCGTGCAGAGTCTCTTGACCACTCGGTATTCGGAATGTGCGCGCTAGTCTTCCTCGTCCTCGATATTGCACTCACCGGTCGTACGACTCCCAGTGGCGTCTAGCATTATCATCCTTTATGACCATCGTAAGTGCAAAGCGACTGGCCATATGCACATAGATAGTGACCATGTTGCAGTGGTTACCCTTGATCAGGAGGTCAGCGCATTCTAGCATCCTGCATTTGCATTTGCATGACTAAATGTGGCGTGCATCTCACAGGTGGAGTTAATTTGGGTACGGCGCGACCTGTTCACGATATGATCCTAGTCTCATTGTTTTCGATAGAAAGCAGGCTGGTCCTTTGGAAAATGTCTTTTCCTTTTGGTGAGTAGCTGATCACATGCGTGCTCTTGGGTCACTCATCATGCCTCAGAACCGATACTATACGCTCCTTGTGGTCATGTGAGTCGTTGCCGCCTGTCGCCAGTGCCGCCAGCTGATACGACCGGCAGCTTCAATAATTACGGCAAGTTGATGCAAATTTTCTGAACGGAGGCAGAGCATTGACTTGAAAACAGTACTCTTTAGCAATAAGCTCACTAACGAAGTGCGTGCTTAATGACCACTGGCAATAATTATCACTCACCTTCTCATAGCTGTAAGTGTCACTCCCGGCTGCGCGCCTCCACCAGGTGTACAAACCACCCTATGTAGATGTTAGTCCCAGGTCACATTCTCCGTTGATCTCCGCTGATGCGTTCTAGGCGTATCATGGTTCCAGTGGCAAAGCGTGTCGGGAATCGTCGCATTCACTCTCGGAGAGCGTAAGCTTTCCATGCAATATTACCCTGCTCGTTAACCCTGGCAGAACGCCTACAGTTATCCTGCAACTCCGGCTGTACGCCCTGTACGGCCTCAACAGAAAAGTCATGGCTGTGGTCGGCTTTGTCTTTGTCGCTAGTGTCACCTCGTCCGCGACCATCATCGCCATTGCGCTCGCGAATGTCAAAGGTGCATTCCTGTCCCTTACTCACGTGTCTGACTTTGCCATTGATCCGCCCTATCCAACAGTCTCGACACTCACGCTGTTCGGCCTTTCGTTTTGCAACCTATTGAACCTCCAGGAGATCACGTATATCTACGCGTTCTGGATCCCGATGATGATGTGCGAGAGTTTGCTCTGTCTCCTCGTCATCCTGAAGGCAGTCCACGGCTGGAAGCGCCAGAGCAACCTGCTTGACACAGGCAAGGAGATCATCGCGGTCCTCATCCGCGATTCGATCATCTACTTCGTCGTGTGCGTGCCCTACTCCCTTGCACTGCGACTCGTACCTCACACCTATCTAGGTTGTTCGTCGTCTATCTCACTAACATCATCATGTTTGTCGGAGGCGACGTGCGTCTCCTACACACATTGCTCCGTCTCGCTCGCACTGATGCATCCCGCCCACCACAGGTGGTCAAGTTTGAGGCCGCGGTCAACTATGCCGTCTCGATGAGCTGCGTGATGAGCAGTCGCCTCTGCCTGAACGTACGCGGCATGATCTGGCATGACGAGGACATTGTTGTCACGGCGCCTGCGACGCTTCCCCTCTCGCTCCAGTCGAGGTGCTCGCGCTGGAGTCGCTCGCGTGACGCGGGGAGCCGCGGCGGCGGCGGGACCGGGCGGAGCCAGGCGAGCGAGCACTCGAGCGTGCGCCCGACGCGCCAGAAGGGGCCCATTATCGCGTTCGCGCACCCCGACGCCGAGGCGGGCCTGTCCGAAATCGAGATGGACGAACTCCGGAGCATGCGCGTCGTGCAACACGAGAACCATGCGTACCCTCTCGCCTTGAAGCTTCCTGGGAAGAGCGACGGCAGGGGAGCTTAGCCGCGGCCACTTTATGGGGCGTAGAACTATAGAGGCGCGCCTGCAAGGCTGCTACGGCTAAGCGCGCTCGCTCGGCATATATGTCGTTGAATAACTGTTCTCGAACTTTTGGACTCGTGTTAAGTATACTTATATAGCTATGTGTGCTCTATTCTCCCATCGTTAACGCACCTACTCTCGTTTCAAATCTGGCATTTTAGCTACTTGTACATTTGCTGTCGGTTTGTCTATATTACTGAGTACCTCAGGGTCGTCTGCTCTGGGAAAGGCCCAAGCAATCTCCGCATTGCGGCAGATAAAGATTGCGCGTGCGGTCGGATCGTTGCGGATTCGTGTGTAAATGAGAAGAGACGCGGACCGGTTCAAGCAACATTGCGCGCGTTCACGATATCAACGAACTCAGGTTTGAGCGATGCGCCGCCTACGAGGAAGCCGTCGACGTCGGGCTGCGTGGCTTTCGAGGGATAACACAAATTTTTAGTTACACTCATGACAACGGGGATACGGTACACATACCAAGCTCTTTGCAGTTCGCTGCAGTGACGGAGCCACCGTAGATAATGCGGCATGACTCTGCAACGGCAGGAGAGACGCTCTTAGTGAGAAAGGCGCGGATGTCCGCGTGTACCTCCTGGGCTTGGGCAGAGGTGGCGACTTTGCCGGTGCCGATAGCCCAGACGGGCTCGTAGGCGATCACGACCTTACTGTGCCGCCTTCTCAATATCTACGCTGGGGGACACTGGGGGAAAGAAACATACGCCCAATCTTCTTCCTTGAGAAGTTTGACGACGGGCTTAAGCTGCTCCTGAACGACCTCGGCGGTCCGGTTCGCCTCGCGCTCCTGGAGGGTCTCGCCGACGCAGAGGATAACGGAGAGGCCGTTATCAAGCGCGACGCGCGTCTTTTCGGCGACGAGCTCCGAGGACTCGTGGAAGAGCGTGCGGCGCTCAGAGTGACCTGGTGTATTCGCGGGTCAACAAACGAAACGAGGGCCTTGGGAGGACACGACAGGACAGGCTCACCGAGGATCACATACGGGATTTTAGCATCGGCGAGCTGGGCGGGGCTATGACACGCCAGTAAGGACTTGCTAAACAAAGCCAAGGGCCAACTTATACCTGATCTCGCCAGTGAAGGCACCGCTGAGCTTGATGTAGCAGTTCTGCGCGGCGACCTTAACGCCATTGCGCACAAGCTCCGCGACCGGGATGAGGTAAATGGATGGCGGAGCAACAACGACCTCTTTCGGGCTCAAACGTCAACGCCTTTCAAAGATACTGCAACAGCGGAGCATTGGATCCTTCCTCACCGACTTTGGGGTCGAGGGACGCCTCGTTCAACGCGTCGATGAGCTTCTTCTTTGCCTCGCGCGAGACGGGGTTCATCTTGAAGTTGCCTCCGACGAAGAATTGGCGAGCCATCTTTCTGCAGCTAGTAATCTGGTTAACTGTGAGATGGTCTGGATGGTCCTGGTACAGCGACGGAAGAGAGAACGATAAAGAGTGAGGCCATAAGGAGGCGAGAACATCCAGAACATCGATTGGCTGATCACTCGATCACTGGACATCTGCTTTAGATTAGATAGACGCTTTTATAGTATAATAAATCTTATCAGATCAGCTCGCGAGGACCCTGAGGCCTGATGTCTGACCACTACCTTGTCCCTCGCTACCTATCTCTCGCTGCTCGCGCAGCTTATGTGCGCAGCTCTTACTCATGCTCTTATAACATGCGTAGGTGCTGTACATATATACAGCGAGTATCTCTCCACCTACCCTCGTGCAGATGATATTCAGGTTCGAGATTGGCACTACGGCGGACATTCAATCCTTCAGCGCAGTCTTTCCTGACTCTGGCGTCCATGGCGTCTAGACTTGATTCATCTGATTCCTCGCTACATTTAATCCCTTTTTCATCCCTGTCGCTCGCAGTAATGCACATGGCGGGCGTGACAGGCCGAAAACGTGGAGTCACGACCACGAAGGTTTCTGTCACGGGACAGATTATCACGGCGCGGGTGCGTATTACTATCGCGAAGTGACGAAGACGGCCCTGGCTCCATGTGCAACCGGCTGCGGTGCCGCTTACATTCGTCCTCTGACTTTTGCCTCTTCTCGATGGTCCAATAGCTCGTTGTGCACTCTGACTGCCACCACCACCTCCGTGACTCGTACTCGTGTGCCGCCGGCGCCGTCACGATCACCTCAAGCAACGAATGTACAATCCATTCCACCCGCCACCCGCGCCGCCTGCATTCGGCCAGGGCAAGGTTGTACCGGAGGGCCAAGCGTCGTAAGTCCCTCCTCAGCTCATTACCCGTGTGCGATGTGTCGGTGCTGACAAGCTTTCCTTCATCACCTAGCCTCTTGTCTAAGCTCATCTTTGGTTGGCTTGATTCCTTTCTCGGGGTAGGCTTCACGAGACCCTTACAGAAAGACGGTGCGCTCCAGGAACTCTGCTTGACACCATCCCCAGACATTGACAGAGCCGATGCGCTCACACAGACCTCTGGGAACTTCCCACAGAAAGGCAGACAAATAATCTCAGCGATGAATTAGAGCGGAATTTTTACACACGTTGTCCACCGGAGAAACGGCCTGTCGAGTTCCGCGACGCCAATGCTAACCCATCGTCATCTACTGCCCGTTCGAGCACGACAGTCGAGCAGGACGATGTGCCCAAGAGCTCGGAGAAAAATGCCGAAGACGCCGAGAAATTTCAGCCCGAACTCGAGAGCGGCGTGACTCCGGCCGGCAAGGGGACGTCCCAGAAGAAGTCAGAGTCGAAGCCGACGTATGACGCATCCCTCTTCAGAGCACTGCACACGACGTTCTTCTGGCGGTGGTGGATTGCTGGAGCGCTGAAGCTCGCCTCAGGTACGTAGTGGCCAGTCTACGTGGTCGCTCGCAGCAATAGACCGAGTACCCCAATTTTCCATTGCAGATACTTTGAAGACGACCACGCCGCTACTGAACAAGGTTCTGCTCACATGGTTGACCAACTCTTACACGTATTACAAGTTCGGCGCTGCGGCTGCGGCTGCAGAGGGTATCACGAAGCCTCAGGGTATCGGTTACGGTATAGGGCTCGGGTTCGCGCTATTTGTCATGCAAGGTAACGTGTATATGCGCATTCTGAGTTGCTCATACTGAAATATCTGTCAGAGGTCGCTAGTCTGGTGAGTGCAAGTATGCAAGGTGGTCTCCAATATTAAATTCCTTAAAATCAGATGACGAATCATTACATGCTGCGTACGTTGACCTCATCCTGTAACCATTGACCCACCTATAACATTCATCTTAGTTACGATGACTACCGGGCTGTCAGTCCGAACAGGAGTATGTGACTTCTGTGCGGCGCTTTCTTCCTGAAGCTAATTCATCACAGATTATTGGGGCGATTTTTCGTAAATCGCTGCGCCTCAGTGGGCGGGCTCGGCTCTCGCACAGCGTTGGGAAGATCACGACCATGATTAGTACGGACGCGACAAGGTTAGACAGAAGTAGCGCATTCATACACAAGTGAGTTGCCTTGAATGACCCGAAGAGCGCGCTCTCATCAAGCCCTAGCCTGTGGGTTGCACCGATTCAGATTGCTATTGGCGTCGGTTTGCTCCTGAACAACGTGAGCGCACATTTTTTGTCGGCACTCGTCTATGTCTAACCCAGCTTGCAGCTGGGATACTCTGCACTAGTCGGACTCGGCGTCCTCCTTTTCGGTTTCCCTCTGCAGCTTGTGATCGTGAAGATGATGTTTAAGCATCGCAAGAGGGGTGTTGTGCTGACTGACCAGCGTGTCCGGCTCAGCACGGAAGTCCTGCAGGGTATTCGGCTGATCAAATTTTATGCATGGGAGAGCTTCTACGCCCACCAGATCGGCTCCCTGAGAGAACGGGAGCTGAAAGCTGTCCGCGGTCTTGCGTAGGTGCTCCTTCTACCTGTGTATTCGAAGATGTTACTGAGTGAGGTGGCAGACTCGCTCGTGCGATGCTGATTGCAGTTGTCACTATCATCCCAATTCTGGCCACAGTTCTGTCCTTCGTAAGCGTCTGTGTTTTAAAGAAATGGGACTCTATGGCTGAGTTGTTCATAGATTACCTATGCTCTGAGCGGCCACGATCTGAACATTGCCATCATCTTCAGCTCACTGCAATTCTTCAACGTGAGTACGCCTTGTGGAAAAGTACTTGGTGTTGTCACCGGCTGATTGTGTCCGTAGATTATTCGCACGCCTCTCGTCTTCTTTCCACTAGTCATTGCTAAGTAAGTCTCGTAGTCATTTATCCGCATGATACCAGGCTGATCACAGTCCGTCGGCGACAGTTGTGCGGACGCCGCGGTCGCCCTGGGCCGTATCGGCTCCTTCCTTACGGCTGAAGAGCTCGCAGAGCCGTACAAGATCGATAAGTCATGCGCGTTCGCTGTTGACGTCGACGGTGACTTCCAGTGGGAGACCACGGACAAGGCTGCCGTTGCTGGAGGGAAGTTCCAGGCGGGCAAGTCCAGCGGTCTCGGTGGAAAGGGGGGTGCTACAGGGGACAAGAAGAAGCCAGAGAAGAAGGAGCAAGGAAGGAAGAAGGGGTTGTTTAGGCGGAAGAAGGGAGGTGTCCTGCCGACCGCTGCAAAAGAGGGCAAGACCAAAGAGGGCAAGAAAGACGAGATACCGTTTGAGCTCAAGGACTTGAAGCTCCAGGTTCCAAAAGGCTCGTTTGTGGCTATCGTCGGGCGCGTCGGGAGCGGAAAGGTTGGTCTGGATGAAGTTTATCGAGGGTTCGCGCTTATGCACCCCTTCTAGAGTTCCCTCTTGCAAGCATTGATCGGTGAAATGCGCAAGAATCGGGGAGAGGTAGATCTTCAGTTGACCTAGTATTCCGCTTGCCTAACTGACTGACGGTCTTGTGACAGTGCGTCTTCTCGTCTTCGGTAGCATATGTCCCACAATCGGCATGGATAATGAACGCGACTCTGAAGGAGAACATACTCTTCGGTCAGCCCGAGGATAAAGAACAACTCCGTGAAATCATCAAGGCGTGCTGCCTCGAGCACGACCTCGAGATGCTGCCGAATGGCGAAGACACCGAGATCGGTGAGAAGGGCATCAACCTCAGTGGTATGTTCCTCTGGCCGGTGCAGACTGTTCACGGCTAACTGTTGGCGAAGGCGGACAGAAGGCCCGCGTCTCGTTGGCTCGTGCAGCGTATTCTGAAGCAGACATTGTGCTGATGGACGACTCGCTCAGCGCGGTCGACGCTTACGTTGGCAAGAGTATCCTTGAGAACTGCTTGCTGACCGGACCACTCGCTGACAAGACGAGAGTGTTGGTGACACACGCGCTACATGTCCTCGACAAGACAGATTACATCTACGTCATGGAACACGGAGTGATCGCTGAGCAAGGCACTTTCCAAGTTAGTACTTCCAGCTATTTTCACTCCTATGCCCGTATCTTACGATGTTCCACAACTCGCACAGGAACTCATGCACAACAGTGTTCTCTTCTCGCGCGTCATGGACGAGTACGGCAACCTCGAGAAAGAGAAGGCTGAAAAGGAGCAGAAAAAGGAGCAGGAGAAGGCTGTCGACGGTGCGAAGAAGGAAGGCAAGAAGGCTGGGCTCATACAGGAAGAAGAGCGCATTACTGGCTCAGTCGCGGGCAAGGTCTATGCCAGATACTTCCGCTTCGCAGGTGGCCTGATCCAGGTCCCGATTTTGTTGCTGTTGCTCGCTGGGTATCAGGGAGCTAGTGGTGCGTCCGTGCAGCTCGGATATAGACAATCCTTGCAAGAAGTGTTGATTCTTATACCTGCACAGTTGCCAATAACCTCTTCCTGGGCTTTTGGACAGCGCAAAGTATACACGGCTTCAGGAGCGGCGACTACATGGGGACGTATGCAGCGCTCGGTATATCTATCGCTGTCTTCTCTTTTGCGCTGAGTTTCCATATCAGGTAAGAATGGCGGGCGTGAATTGTCAGTATGCGCTGACTGTTGAGCAGTTTGACGAGTCTATCGGCCGGTCTGCGAATGTTCAGGGCGTCGCTCTGGGCGGTCCTGCATTCGGCAATAGCGTTTTTTGATACAACCCCCATGGGTAAGCAAATATAGAGAAGCTTGAGGCCTGCAGTTGCTGATGAACGAGCAGGACGCGTGATGTCTCGGCTATCCAAGGACCAAGACACTGTCGACACAGAGATTTCGATGATTGCCTTCCAACTTCTGTCTACTGCAAGGTCGGTTTCACTCCTGGGTGTCATCCCCTCGCTCGCTAAGTTTGCATAATAGCAATGTCGCTGGTACCGTAGCACTGGTCTTCTACACGTTCCCACTTCTTGGCATCATCTTCGTACCCTTGTTCATCTTCTACTACGCGACTGCAATCTTTTATCGGCGCACCTCGGTAGAGACGAAGCGCCTCGATTCGCTCATGAGGTCCGCATTATACTCCTCATACTCTGGCAAGTCAACTCTCTCAAATCTCTACGTGTTCGCTACTGATGTGCTGTCACAGAAACCTTGACTGGTCTGAGCACCGTACGAGCGTACCGCGAGCAGCCTCGGTTCATTCACACTGCCGAGCAGGGTCTTAACATGGAGAACCAGGCGTACTACATGACTATTGCTATCCAACGGTGGCTCAGCGTGCGGCTCGATTTCCTCGGTAACATCCTCATCCTCGGCATTGCGCTGTTTGCTGCAGGCTTCAGGAAAAGCGTGAATCCCTCGAAAATTGGAGTAGTGCTATCTTACACTCTGAGCAGTAAGTTCGCTCTTACACATGGCAGCGGATGGTAACTGATATCAATTCTCTGAACAGTCACCCAAACTTTCTGTACGTCCGGTTCTCCCGCGCATTCGTATGCTTCCTCACCTCCTCCCCAGCCGATCTCGTGTCTACATATGCCCAAAACGAGCAGAATTTTAATGCTGTCGAGCGGGTGCGCAGCTTTCGTATAAGCTTTCGTTATTGCACTTCTGACCGCAGCGTAGATTCTACACTATACGGAGCTACCATCGGAGGGCGCCACGACGACGCCGAACGACCCCCCTGCCTCATGGCCTGAGCAAGGCAAGATAGAGTTCAAGGATGTTAACCTGGCGTACCGGGAGGGTCTGCCATTAGTACTGAAAGATGTCACGTTCGAGGTCAACCCCGGCGAGAAAGTTGGGGTTGTAGGACGCACGGGCGCCGGGAAGAGCTCATTGCTTCAGGCACTCTTCAGGTGACCATAGTTCTGTCTTCTCACACAAATGGGATTGCTGACATACAGGCTCTCACTAGGATCGTCAACGTGAAGGCGGGCAGTATCACCATCGATGGTCACAAAACCAGTGACGTAGGTCTTGACGTCCTCCGAAGCCGGCTAGCCCTTGTGCCGCAGGACAGTACGCTATTTTTGGGCACGCTGCGTGAGAATCTGTGAGTCCTTCCCCAAGCTGGCAACCTCCATTTGTTCATTAGCTGCCGACGTAGCGACCCGCAAAATACACGGACCGATGCAGAGCTTATCGAGGCGCTGAAGCGAGCGTGGCTGCTCCCGAAAGAGGGCCCTGTCGACTCGACGACTGAGGCGAAGTTTAGCCTGGACGCAGCCGTGACCGATGAAGGTAGGTGTCTGTGATACTTGGCGTAAGGCCTTACTGAGCAGTTGGCCAGGATCGAACTACAGCGCGGGCGAGAAGCAACTGCTGGCCCTGTGCCGTGCGCTGATCAAGAACAGCCGAATCATCGTCCTGGTGAGAGCCTTATTTCAAGGTTTGATGTCTAGCCCGAGATTCTCATGCACGAATCAGGACGAGGCAACGAGCAGCGTCGATGTCGAGACCGATGCTAAGCTTCAGAGGACGATTCAGACCGAGTTCGCGTCTTCAACCCTGATATGCATTGCACATCGCCTGAACACGATCGGTAAGCTCGTACCTTCATTTCCTCCACAAAAATGGCTAACGGGGCCGTGCAGTTTACTATGACCGTGTGCTTGTCATGGACGGCGGGCGCGTTGCCGAGTTCGACACGCCGCTGAACCTGTTCGACCGCGAAAACTCGATCTTCCGGTCGCTCTGCAATGAGGCGGGGCTGATTAAGCAGGACATCATCAGGATTCGTGCCGGCGTGAAGCAGGGCGAACCTGCGATCCTGGCATTAGAGCAGTAGACTGTCGCCATTCATCATCTTCATTCTCGATCTTCTTCTCTTGTTCCCATGAAACATGCACTAGGCTTGAATTTAGGGTCAGTTGCACGAACATACTCCTAACGTCTTGTAGATGAGATTACGCACCTTTCCTTGTAGTAAGAGGGTTCACGACACAATAACGCTTTTTAAAGTACCACATCGTTTGATATGACTGTTGCCTAGCCGTCTAGCTGCGGAATTACACTCGGCTATACACGTACGGGATTTGATAGAAAGATTGCTTGCTCTGGAAGGAATCAAGAGGCGAGACAAGAAGATATACCAGATGACGGCCTGGAGAGTAGTTGTCGTACTGCCCTCTGCAAGAACCTGAGCGAATGGTGAATGCAGCTCTGGGACAAACATCCGAGAGGTCGCTAATGCGATCGGGGTAAGAGACACACTCAGTTGCAAACGACAATAGTCTCACGTCGAAATGGACATCTCGCGTTATTGATACGAAGATCTCTTCGCGCTGAGAATGTGCTGGGCAAGCACCTGCAGATGGGAGAGATAGGCACTCCGCAGATATACTCAAAATGCTCACATGCACAGCTGACTCAAATAATTTCGTGCGCTTCGCCCGTGTGTACACAAAGCGTGTCCCAATTTGGTCCAGGCGAATCGTCCTCGGTGTGAAAGGTGGTTGCAACGCAAGGAACTTGCGGGGCCGTAAATACTGGCTCCACGCGGACCGATCAAGGCACATGAGTCGACCAGGGAAAACATGCACGCGGAGAGAGACGGAGGGTTTAGATATCGATAAACGTGTCGCACGATGCGCGGTCAGGTCTAGCCGGCCTACCGGATCTTCGACATTGAATGCACAGCCGATGGTTTGCACCCTGGAAATCCGCGTTAGAGAGCAGTAGCAATGAGCAGTGAACACACCGCCGCCGGTCGACGAATTGCTGCAGTGGAGGCGGACTGCTTCGCGATGAAAGCGCAGCTTAACGACGAGACAGGGCGCGCAATGGGCGTGGCACCCCCATGTCCAGGCAGCCGCGACGGGAAGAGTTCGCGCTCACACCCGTCGCTCGCGCCTAAAAACAAAGCACATGAACGACTGACTTTGAAACTTACCGCGCCAAGGTTAAAGTCGCAACTTGCTCGGGCTGAAGCCTGAGGCCTAAGGTCTGTAAGGGCCTGAGACCAGAAGAGCCTGGGTCAGGTGATGATCGGCCTCGGGAGTGGAGTAAAAGAACCTATGGTGTGAGGAACTTACAATGGTCTCGACCTCGTACGGTGGAGTGCCGGGGACATGGCCGCGCGGTGTGGCAGCGAGCAACTGGGAATATTTCGCAAGCTCGAGATCGATGATGGGAACCTGCAGATAGAGGCCCGGTAAATACGAAGCAATGACGGTACATTAGGTGCAAACGACAGACCATGCGTGTATAGCAGCAGCAGCGAGATGAACGGACAAGGTAGAAGTGAAAGGGATCGAAAGCAACGTCCGTGAGCATACCCCAGGGTCGCGACATGGATGCACGGTACATTCTGCAGAGCGAGAGAGCACTGGGGACACAAACCCTCGAGGGCAGTGACGGAAATTGGAAGTACAGCTAAGGACAGATGATAATTCAGGATGGAGGAGAGGGGAATACAGAAGCTCCAAACTCAGCCAGTCGAAACCTGAGGATATGGATACATGAGAGAACGCGACAAGGCCGGTCCTGTTATGGGCTCATCTGCTCAAGTAAACATAGTACGACATCCTATGAAAAGGACACGACGTGTCAGCATGGAACTGACTGCGCTCAGAAAGGTAAGATCTGACATAGAGGACGAAGACGGCACTCTAGTCGAGCCGCTCGGGAATCATGAGTTCAGCATTCCCGTGTCGCAGGTCATACACCGTTGGGCTCTAAAGAAGTCGGAGCGCGGTTAGAGGGGAGGGATGTAGGGCGTCGAAAATCATGGAAGGATACTCACGTCTCGTGCATCCTCCTCAGCTGTGTATAGTATCGGGCCCAACTGCTGTATTGCTTTGGCAAGGGCCACTCGACAACGACTTGGACCAGCCTCGTCCATGTAGGTGATATAGAGATGCCTTGTGCGCGCGCGTGCGGAGTCGTCGCTGATGACATCGAGCGAGTAAGCGGCACCGGCTCCGCCACCAATTCTTGTCGGGTTGGCCCACTTAAGGACGTAAATCTGGGTGAGGTGGGACGGAAGAGGAAGGATGGCCTCGCCGTCGGGCTTGGTGAGAGTGAAAAAACGGTCCTCAGACTCGGGGATGTCGAGCACGCCCTCAGCGAGGGTCCTTAACGACTGGGCATCGAGGCAAGTGTCGATGCTATCCTTCTGCTGCGCCGCCTGTGCCTGCAGGTACGCTGGGGGACGCAGCTGAGGCGGCGGGGGTGGCGTAATGTAATTCAGGTTCATGAGGGTCGTCGTGGTCGTCGCGCCAGGTCGTGCAGATGATGGGACCGATAGGGATAGTCGTTGTAGGAGGAAAGGTCAGTACTGCCAGTCTCATAGCACATGCACGGCAACTGCCGCGAAGGGTGTAGTCCCCATCCTGGCCTCGTTGTTCCCAGCCTGGCCTCAGCCTCCACGCCGTCGTCGACGCTCTCACTGCCATAGTAGTCCGAACGGCCAGAGGAGAACAAAAGAGAACGGGTTATGTCGCTCCCTCGCTTAGCCGTTCTTTATACTGCCATCGCAGTCGTTCAGCTCCTGTCGTCTGCCGCTTATGTCCCCGCGTCCCAGATGGTCCTGGACCAGACATCAGCAGCATCGGCCATCTTGCGGCGCATAACAACAGACCCGGAGCGTGGCTGGGACGCACATTCGGTAGTTGAGGATCTGGTTCAGGTCGGTGGCGATATCGAGTCTTCATTCATGTCAGCTGCACACTTACAGTCGCTCTCCTGGTCATTAAATGCCGACGTGTGGCATGTCGGCCAGCATCATGTCGATGTTTACCTCCCACAAGGTTCTGCCAACGCCTCTTCGCCATCTCTAGACGACTTGCCGCATGTTGACACCCATCTGCCGAATGCACTCCTGAAAGCACCCCGCACACGACCACAATCCCACTGGAACCTCAGTTCTCTAGCGAATACCACCTTCCACGCGGAATACCACGCCCTTGAGGATATCTATATCTTTACCAGGGAGCTTCTAGACCTTTATCCAGACAATGTGAAAGTCGTGCCCATTGGTCACTCTGTTGAGAATAGAGAGATGTTTGCGCTTGAGATATTCAAGGACGAGCGAACGAAAGCGAAGAAGACCGGCTTCGTCATTACGGGTGCCCAGCATGCCCGGGAGGTATGCCATGTTCTCGATAGGATGGAACTGCCTGACCTTGATTGACACAGTGGATTGCGACGTCGACCGCGATGTTCATTGCGCATGCCCTGCTTGCTGATCCGTCCGAGTCGTATTCTATGGCCCCTCTTTTAAGCTCATACGTGAGTTCCATAGTACTTTCTGATAGACGTATCCATCGTGTCTCAAAGTGACTACGACGTCACCTCTGCCCGTGATTTAACAAACTCGTGTTTGCAGACCTTTTACCTCGTGCTGGTGCCCAATCCTGACGGGTATGTATACACGTGGGAGACGGACCGACTGTGGTGAGTACACTATAGACTCTTTCCGGCCTATCGGGTGCTTGCAATATCTCTCTCTCAGCCCAATGCGTCTCGCCTGTCTATTCACATAATACCCCCTTAGGTACAAGAACCGTCAGACCCTCGGTCCAAACGAAAAATGCGTAGGCCTGGACATGAATAGGTGTGTTGGCCATGTTCTGCATCGATTTGGCGCAAACTTATCCTCATCGTGTAGGAATTGGGTAGGTACATGCTACTTGCCTAACGATCACACCGCCTGACTAGGCTCGAAGGGTCACAAGTGGAAACGGAGAGCAGACTTCCCCGCCACCCAGGCCGCGAAAAAAGCCCCGGCCAATCCTTGTGCTCCTTGGTACCCGGGCCATCGTCCGTTCGAGTCACCCGAGGTGAACAACATCGCGAACTTCATCACGACCCTGCCGAACCTACGCGCATATATCGATCTAAGGAGCTACGGCCAGATGAGTGCGTCCTTGGTCGAAGGTCTGTAGCTCCATCTCATATTTGGATCTCATAGTCTCTACGCCTTGGTCGTTCACATGCAAGAAGACGACCAAGGATGCTGAGGACCAGCTCGAGGCCGCGTTGGGCGCAGCAGCAGCGATCCGAATTGCTCATGGGACGACCTTCACGGTATGTGTATTCTCTGGATCCGTTAGACATCGAACTCAAGAGACGCAAGGCTGGTGGTCTCTGCAAGTCGACCTACAAGTGCGTCTCTACTTTGTATCTCAGATCGGTACGACCAACTCGGCTTGCTGCAGGGCACCGGGCAACGTAGTAGACTACATGTACGGCAAAGCTGGCGTCAAGTACTCGTACGCAGTGCATCTGCGTGACACTGGCACTGTGCGTAGCATTCTATATCAGTCTCATGTCCCTGCGCTAACTGCTCTTTACAGTACGGTTTCCTTCTCCCGCCTCAATGGATTCGACCAGTCGGCGAAGAGACGGCCAACATGATCAAGGCCCTCGCTGCGTTTATTGTGAATAAGAAATGTACGTGCCAAGCGCATCTCCAGTGCTAGTATCTTATCTGATACGTTCGTGCAGTCTGATTTGTTGTGACGCTACTTTTTATGTGGTCTGCTGCGCCCACACATGTTGTAATTCTAGTCTGTATACTCTTTCTGTAGCCTCCACAGTCCTATCTTAGTCTTCAGCAGCTGTGCTGCCGCGTATGGAATACTTATCATGGCAATCTACTCTGGGTGAGTAAAAACTAGCTGCATAGGCTTGACATAGTACATATGCAATTGCATGGAAGATGGCGGGTGGTGCTACAGGAACTGGAGAGGCAAGATAGGGAGATGGGATATTATGAAAATATTGCGATGAGGGCCCAGAGGGTCATGATGATGATGATGATGATGGGCGGATAATGAGAGGGCAAGAGTTATTGAATGTATAATTACGGCACAAGAATTGCTTGCAACAAGCGTGGAGCTGCGATAGCGCAAAGGCAGGTGGAGGTGGATATGGGATGTGGTGTGGGAGAAGCAAAATCATAATACCAATACCAGACATGTGACTATCCCATGGACTGTCCAATTCTAATAATCAAGACATCCCGACTCACGCACAAGCGGAATGTGCGTAGTCGGTTCAGAAAATCCAGTCGTGAAGGGTGCTCTCAAACAGAGGGGTAGGAAACGAGGGGAAGAGAGCTTCAGCTAGTCCAGTCACGTCCACTGCGACTCCGCCGACGCTCGTCTTCTATCTCGGGGTCCATACGTCCCAAGACCTCGCCAGAGGCGATGCTCATGTTCGATGTCGCACTACCGGTTGACGCGAGCCGCGGCCTGCGATACGCTGCGGGCACGCCGACGTTGATGCTTGGCGAGCCGCTGCTGCTAGGTCGCCTAGCCAGCGCGGTTGGCGCATTCGGTAGGCCGTCGCGTGGCGTGAAAGTAATGGGGTCTAAAGTTCTCCGACCGATAGTAGATGGCCCAGAGCTCGGGGCGCGCGCGGTGGATGAGCCCGTGCTACTGCCGTCACGGTCCTTCTTGCGCCGGTTCCCAATGCTATTCAGGCTTGCAAAGAACGTATCCTGCATCTGCTGGAGCTTCTCGTCCACCGCCGATGCCGTGGTGAGCATCGGCTGTGAGCCTTCCCTCGATAACGCTTGCGCGGAGCCAGCAGCCGGACCGGAATCTGGAGGCTTGTTCGAGACCGGATCCATAGGGTTCGCGGCGGAGTCTTGCGAACCCTCGCGGACACGATTCAACGGCTTCCGGCGGTCTATCTGCTGTACGAAATCCGAGATGTCGTCGTCATCGGTGGCCGCGCTGAGATAAGACGCGTGCTAAATTAGACCCGATGAGTATGCAATTATAGCGGATGGTATAACGCGTCATGACGTACCGTTATGCGTTCTGGAGCACTACTAGTGCTGCCCTCACTGCCCACGACCGGAGCGACAGCGTATCGATGACCGAAACTGCTTCTGTACCGTCTGCCTCCTGCTAATGGTGAAGAATCACTTGGTATACTTGTTCCCTCTGCAGAAGCAAGTGATCGTCGATCCCCTAAACTTGAGGGGCCACCTAGGCTAGAGGGTATCGTCGGAGGTGAGGGACGTGGTGGCGGTATGGGCGACCCGGGTAGCCTAGCGGGAGCCCCTGCACCTATGGGTGATGGCAGCGCTGGTGCGCGGGATGACGTGGGTGAACTATGAACTGGCCTAGAGGGTAACGACGGCCCGGCGCCCAGTGGAGAGTGCTGCCGTAGGGACGTGGACGGCGAATGGACGGACGGAGAGCCAGATGACATTGTGCCCGATTTGAACGCATTGATAGGGCTGAGAGCGGGACGCGACGTACGGATTGGCACCGGTCCCGGCGAGTCCTGCAGGTGATGTTTCAAACCAAGTATATGTGCGCCAATTCCAGATACACTTACTGTACGACCCACCCCAAAACTGTCCCTCCTCAGCCGCATGGCAAGTGCGGATGGTGTAAGCTCCTCTCTAGAACCGATAGATGGCGTGCCGTGGCGTATGGAAGAGGTATCAGATACACCAGAGGCGGACCCTGCGGCGTTCCCGGCGCCTGACATGACGCGCGTCATGGGCAACGCAACATTCTGCGATCGCGGACTACTGCCGGTCAGGGACGTAGTACGCGTATGCGTTCGTGGTGGAAGCACGAATCGCTCTGCCGCAGATGAGGGTTGCGAGCGGGGCAGCGAAGTGCGCATCGGGAGGCTGCCAGGGGAGCTAGCGAGTGAGTCGCGCTGTTGGTTCCTCAGCAGCGTCGGCGTAAACTCTGGTCCTTCGGCCTGCGATAGGAACCGCGAGGATAGCAATGACTCTCGGTCAAACATCTTGAAATCCGGAGTGGAAAGATACACGGTTGAGAGAGAAAGTGTGCCCCTAGGGTGGGAGACAGGTGGAAAGTCGTGTACTTGATGAGCGAGAGTCGATCCTTGCACTAAAGAGTCTAGAATCGCATGAGGCACATCCGGGACCGATGGTCGAGGTCGAGAAGGAGTCAGTCAGCGATTGCCATCAACTACTAGGAAGCAATGTGTATCTCTTACCGAATTCTAAGACCCCGTCCATGTGTACACTCCGCTGCTCGACCCGAACCTGAATACTGAAATTTCCATTGTTCATCCCCCTGAGCCGACCCCCGCGCCTCGCGAGCTTCCAGGTAGGCAATATGCGGAGAAGCGTGAATATGCTTCTGAACAATGAGATGCCATGTTTGTATATTGTTGAAGGGGCTACGTCGGAACGCTCTTGTGACTGTCCAAGGTGCGACTGTGACTGATGCGGTTCGAAGACAAGGGTCCAGGTCTCCAGGAGAATGAACTTGGGCGTGGGGTCTATGGGCACACGAGACGAGTCCGGTTCGATATGCGCAAGGACCTGGTTAGGTGTCAGCTCTGGCACAGCAAGTAACACCTGAAGCTGAAACGTCGATGGCAGGACCGTGGACGACAAGGAACGGTAGACTCGCGTATACTCCTTGAACACATCAGTGTCTGGAGTCTCGAGGTTAAACTTGATGACAACGTCAGCCGGGTCAGCAGGACTCTTCCAGAGTCTCAAGTAGCGTACCCATTTGTCTGCCTTAGCCTGAGGGTTAGGCTCACTCGTAGCCCGCGCATGATGCACGACGAGCGCGAGCTTTGTGTAGAACCTGTAGGCTATCTGGTCGGCCTTCTGGGTGTCATTGGACATGGCAGATGGCGGGAGAGGCTCAGAGAATGGACTGCGGCGACTGAGCAGACATTAGGACAGTAGGATATAATCAGGAAATGGGCGTGCAGGCTGTGGTGGTCGTGGCTCGCACGCAGCTGAGGATCCTCGTTTTAGGCATCGGAGGTACGGATCCCCACATTAGCAACGGGTAAGTAATCCCTGAAACCAGCGGAGCTGGCGAATTGATCGAGTCATATCACGTTCATACAGTCGTTTTGAAATAAGGTAACAAAATTTACTAATGCGTGTTCTTACCCGCATCGCTCTCGACGTCGGTCCGCACAGCCATCGAGCAATGTCATCGGACAGCCCTGGACTGCACACGAGTCGGTCTCTGAGCCTGCAAGCTGTCGGTATGGGCGATACAACTGACCGTATGCACTTCCCAGTGCATCCAGAGCTGTCACAATGTCACCCCAACCCTTCAGAAGCGTACAGCCTTGACCGGACCACAAAAGCCCGTCTCACTGTTACGGTACCCTGGAGTGCACGTTCGTCTTTACATTGGATGACTGTACCAAGTACTGCTTCTTATGCGACTCGCGCCCTTGCCCCGCCGTCCATACTGCCCACACACCCTGTGCGCAGAACGCTGTCGTCAATACGATGTGCCATGTCAAGACACAGCCCCGGCAAGCGGCGGGAAAAGAACCCTCGCTATGAACCTAGTCGGCTCAGGAACGGGAAGGACGCAGGAGGTGTGGCCATACACGCGACTGGCAGCATGGGGGGCAGAAGCCATCTGAAGAGATATGCATCGATGAGCATTGCCATGCGATTAACAGGCAAGTCACGCGTGGTCTGCACCTACCAGTTAATAACGCGCGCACGATGACGAAACATGTTCCCATACCCTTCTCAGAAGGCGGGCTTTGGCCTCGCAGGGCTGCCGCTTCTAGGCAGAAACCACCATGATACACCTGCGGTCCATCCTGCAAGGGGCTGTGGCTCTTCTGTGAGGCAGACATTCTCGACTCGATGCCACCATCCCCGAGGAATAAACAGGGTCTCCCCTTCCCGCACTAGACATGTCGTCCCATGCCTAGTGACGGCTTCCGCCACATTCAGAGGCGCGTCCGGGTGGACTTCGATATGAAACTGCACGCCAGGAATCCCAGAGGCCGAGGACCGCTCTCGACGCAGCCGGACTTTCATTTTTGATGTATTGCTGAAGACACTGCTGCCTCTCTGCGCGTGCCGCAACATATCCGAGGTGGATGGAGGCATGAGCAGTACGTGCTTCGCGAATTTCGTAGATTCAGACGCGGCCTGAAGATGGAATAGATTCATATATGAATCGTAGTGAAACGGGGTCACCTAGAGGTCCTATGGTCGGTCAATGATCACGCATGGATACAAAACAAGGACCCACCGCGCCGGTGGGCCCGAGAAATATTGCCTCCATGTACAGGTCAACACTGCCATTCTCCAGCAGGGGCTGCAGCAGAGGTGGCACCTTGGCACCTACAGCATCTACCTGAGAAATAGCACGGAGTTAGTATGCTGGCATGCATAACGAGTGCTAGTATAGCCGCATTACCTGCTCTCTCCCTACCCACTGGGCCAGGTACAGCGGCTTACCACCGATGGTTCCTTCCGGGGTCTCTTGCAGCCACTCTAGATACTTTCCGAGAGGCATTGGAATCTTGTCGAACTCCTGGTTCGGTATGTCGTCGTAGGTGTCCAATTCAACCTCGACTAACTTGTCCTTATGGCTCACTAGAGCACTCATCAATCTCCGAGCGCGGAGTCCTGGCGAATCTGCAGCGCCGTTTGCTCGCAAGATGACAGGGTGATCAAGTGACATATCCCAAGACGTAGAGCAAGGTACGCGAGACGACTCTGGTATATGACACGGCCTGTACGGCACCTCAGGACCTCTTGCACTGTCAGTCGTCCCAGAGAGAAGCCGGGCGATCCGCCGGTGTGCTGCAGAGCAACGCAAGAGCTCTACATTCGCGCTACATGCTCGCCATGCTCGAGATAGCCTGAACATGCTTACCGAGGCTATGCCATCATTATAGTATTAGTGAAGGCGCGTGAAAGAGGAACGAGTCCACTTACTGCACTGGTGTGGAGGAAGAAGGGAAATCGAAAAACTCCGGCGAGCATCATATTTCTCACGCTTGGCGCTCATAGTACTACGGCTCAGATGCGGGGAGATGTTAACGTACAGTCCAGGTACAGTCCTAAAGAAGTCCATACAGTCTATGATTAACAGAAAAAGAAGAATACTCGACAGCTATAGACGGTAGTGTAACAGATCATCCTGCGCATTAGAATCAATCAACACCATGCTTGTTAGGGTCCGCAAACGGATCCTCCATGCCATCCCACTCAAACGGCGTAGCCAGGTCAACAGAGGCGTCCGTGTGATGTTTTGAGTGTCCACGCGTCAGCAGGCTGTGCCCACTGCGCGATCCCGCACGCGAATCGGTGGGCGCGGGACTGTACGCGCCCCTGCGCGACACCGGACTCGTCAGCGTGTTCCAGCGCGAGATCGTACGCGTGGAGCTCGCCACCGACGGGCTGCGCGTCTGAGACTGGGACCCCCGGCTGTCGCTCCGCCCATGCACGTAGTACTCGGCATAAAGGGGCGCGTGCGCGTCGACGTGGTCCGCGAACGGGTCCTCGAGGGGCGACACGAGCCGCGAGTCGGCACGGGCGCGCGACACCTGTGCCATGTCGAGTTGTAACATGCTCGCGCTCGGGATCGAGGGCATGTCGTACGGAAGCGGGTTCCCGCTATCGCGCCTGGGGAGCGTGTCGGCGTATGGCGGGCGCAGGCTGTCCTCAGGCTGATACTCGGTGTCGGATGTGTTGTGCACTGTGAGGTTCTCGTAAGTGGCCACGAAATGTCCCTGGCGTCGCCGGCGGATGCGTAGGAGGAAGAAGATGCAAGGGACGAGCAACGCGGTGACGACGAGGACGGGAACTAGAATGACCACGAGGGCGTTCGTTCTGTGCGAGCAACAGTCAATGACCGCAATACTTAATAGAGAACAACGAACGAACCCGTGCCCAGGGTTGGCAGTTCCCGCTCTATCATTCGCTGTGTTACCTGTCGGGACAGTCGTAGCTGTGCTCACAATACCGTATGACCTAGTTGTGACTTGCGTCACACCGACAACCTGTCCTGAGGTCGCAGTACCGCTGTTGCTCGCAAGCGTGGTCATCCAGACTGCCGTGTGCACTTGTGTTGCCGTGTCTGAAGGGTCAGGACCGACATTGACAGGTGTTGGCCTGTAGAGGCGACCATAATGAGCCATCCGTAAAGTGCAGAGGTCATAGCGCACGCACCAGGATGATGAGCTCGGCACATCAACAGATTCGGAGCTCGACGGGGAACCTGGTATCTCACCGCTCCCCGCGCTCGAGAGATATGACGCACTGTACGCATTCTGCCAGTCGGCAGAAGGTCGCGCGGTCACTGTAGTCACAACGCCCTGTGTTGCCTGGCTACTCCCGTCCGCTTGCGATGCGACCGCATTATCTGGAAGGAGTGAAGAGCTTGACGAGAAAAGCGAATGTTGAACCACTTCCGCAGTGGTTAGAAGCACCAGGCTCGAGATGGATGCTGGTCCATCCTGAAATCCTTGCAGAGTTATGGAGGTAGGAACGGTAGAAGGAGAGACGCCGAAGGGGTCGGAGGTTGCAGACGGTGAGGCCCGGTTTGTGCTGGAGGCGTCGGCAAGTGTAGTCCGAGTCGCAGACGCAGATATCGATTCCAATTCTAAAAGGGCCCGAGTAGTCAAAGAAGGTGTAGAGCTGAAGGAAGGTGTGGATGAAACGAATGTGGACGAGAAGGATGCGGACGCCGCCGTAGAAGATGGACTTGTTGTGCCCAAGCTAGAGCTAGATACCCTGCTTGCGGAGGCAAGTATAGATGAGTCCAAAGCAGTCGAGCTGCTGAACAGCCTCGACTGCGTACCAGAAGCAGCGCTGCTGCTGACCAAGGGGGACGAGGCAAGAGCGCCGCTCGCGAGACTACTTGTATAGTCCGATACGCTCACGCTACTCATGCTTGTCTACTCGGCGAAGATGAAAGAAAATAAGAAACAGTGCACGCAAACGGCCGCCGTCTAGACTGCGCAGCGGCAATAATCGGAATATTTTCGTTTCATAACAACGAGGTGCCTCAAGGTGCCTGGCGGCCCTTGCTGAATAACGATCACCGGAGTCTAGACAAACGCGCACGCATCTAAATTACATGCGATTGGGCGAGAGGGTGGAGGGCCCGCCGCGAGACACACGTCGAACGCAGGCCAAGAACAAAAAACTGTGGAGACAATGAGTACCCAAAATCCAGATCCACCGCAGCAGCGCCCACAAGTATCCACAACGCCACGAAGGGGTGCGGGACGGTGAAACAACACCTGCGTAAAGGCGTCCGAGGCTTCGCACCCACTCTTCCAGGTCTCTGCCATGATCTAATTGCCTCGGCGCGCCGGTAAAAAGGTCAGCTACATCTTTTCCCGACTCTCTTGACGACCCTGTCGGCATACAGCTGTGCTGTGCGAGAAGGGCACGCTCTCGGTGATCGCTCCCCGCTAGCAGCATCCCTGAGCGGTGCGAAACGCGTCCAATCAAGGTCCAGATTCAACATGAGATGATGAGCGTTAGTGCAGTGTCGCTCATTGCTGTGGAAGAATACGGTGTCAGTATTTCGGATGGTCACAGCTGAAGGGAAAGAGATGAGACTGGATAGCGGCTGCAAATGAACTCCAGCACCACTAGAGAACATCATAAGAACCGCAGCACGGGTTTATAACTGCAGATAGTCAACGAAAGGGCGTACGCGAGCAGAAGTTGCTCATTTATTATGCAGACAGGGCTATCGCCGCCTACATGTGTCCACAATGCTACGAAAGGCAGCGAAATAGACTCATGGCTGACGCCGCTGTCAATCACAAAGATAAGACGAGCACCCACCGTATCTGCCTGCGTCTCACAAGCTGTCCTACTGAGCGAACTTCGGGATCGAAAAAGACAACAAGTAATGATTAACAACCCGGATACTGTACACGTACTAGGTTCGTGATGGCATGATACACGATGTAATATCGTTGCTTTGGCATCGCAACATCGTAAGCATACACCCAACATACAACTCTCCCCCACCCCCTGCAAGACCAGGCAAAGCGGGAGATAAACTCCCGTCAACGACAGCGCGCCGCTCAGTGCTTCTCGCTCGCAGGCCCCTCCATGTGACCCTCGTCGATCATGTTGAGCTCGTCCTCCTGCTGATCCAGGTGCCTGTACTGGAACCAGAAGATGATGCCGGAAATGAACGCGAGGACGCCCATGACACCGTAGTTCCAGACGAGGAGCGGGTCTGTGGAGAGCGAGACGAAGGCCTCGCCGATAGCGCTCGAGATCGCAGACATGAACAGGAACACGCCCATGACGAGCGAACGCATGTTCTTCGGCGCCTTGGTAAAGGCGTACTCGAGACCCGTGATGGACGCGAGAATCTCGGAGAAGGCGATAAGGACGTAGGATCCGGTCTGGATCCAGACGTTAAGCGGGGATACGAGCGGGTTGTTGTCGCTGTCGAAGCACGTTGCGGCGGTGTAGCCGCAAGGGCTGGTCTTGTAGATATAGTGCTGGACGACAGCGGCCCAAACCATCGCGAAAGCACCAGTGAAGAACCCAGCGGTGATCTTCTTCAAAGGAGTGAAGTTGATGCCAACGCGACGGAGAGCAGGGTAGATGAAGAGATCGCAGATGGGGATGAAGATGATGAGGGCGAAGGGGTCGAGGTTGGAAAGGACGTCGTTGGGAACACCGTGCGTGGACATGACAGCCGCCTGAGACGTCAGGTTGTTGTTCAGTTGGTTGTAAGTGAGCCCTGGAAAGAATTGGTGAGTGAACAATAACGGCAGATATCAGCACTTACAGTAAATGGGGTACCACAAGAAGACGGAACAAGCTTTGAAGCCGCGCTTGACCTCGTCCACCCACTGATCGTCGAAGGTCATCCAGCGGGGGCGGCTCTCGCCCTGGTAATTGCTCGGCTTAGCCTGCTCCCAGAAGTCGGGCGCGCAAAGGTTCCTCCAGGTCTTAAGGGGGTTGAACGAGAAGCGTCCTTTCAAGGCCTGACGCCAGACGCGGAGAGACTGGCCAAGGACGGAACCTTGCGGAGGGGACATGGCGTAGTGGTTGCGACCGATATAGAGAACAAAAGGACACAAGCAGAACAATGCCGTCGGGAGCGTATACGCGAGCCAGTAGCCGACGTACTTTTCGGAGTACGCCATGCCGATCTGGCCAATAAGAGCACCAATGTTGATGAAGAGATAAAAGTACTGCGCCAAGCAATGTTAGCATATGTGGTCGCTCGACTGTGGTCAAACTTTACCCACCATGTAGATACGCGAAGTAGTGAGCGTTGGGTCAACAACAACGCGCTCGCCGCTCTTCTCCGTTCGGACGAAGAGCTTGGTGCGGCGGTACTGCTCAGCGACAAGTGGCGAGATGTTCGCCTTGAAGCCTCCGGTACCGAGACCCATGATGATGATGGCGATCACGAAGCATGCCAAAGCACCATGGCTGTGGTTGATAATACCAGGAATGGCAGAGATGATGAGGAGGGCGTGACCGAAGAGAGCGATAGCGACGGAGACGCAAACCGTCTTGAAGCGACCCCATCTTGTGTCGGCGATGTAAGCGCCAAATAGAGGAATCACGTATACCCTAAGCGCTGTCAGTATCCAGTCCGAATCATTTTGAATGGAAAAAACTCACCAGAAGCTGTTGAAGGTCGAGATACCAGTGGATGCACGCTGGCCCAAGCCAAGGGCACCAGGCTGTTTGACGGAAGCACCTGTCTTGGAACCAGGTGGCAGAGGCTGTTGGATGAAGTTGGTCTAGACGAAAAAGCGGTGTCAGTCATCACCTCGTGATGATGGCCGTTGATAGGAGAGATACGTACGAAGACAACGGTGGCACCGTAGTAGGAAAAGCGTTCGCAAAGCTCAACGAAGGCAATGACTGAGAAGGGATTAGAGGGGTCGGAGGCTCAACCGAGGAGTACTTACGGTACGCGTTCCATGGGATGGCATCTGGCACACGACGGAGGGTTTCCCGCTCGTCGTCTGTGGGGAACTCGAGGCCGTCGTGGATCCCGTCGAGTTCGTGTGATGCAGTCTCGGAGACTATGTGATCATGCGAACTGCCGAGCTTCTTCTCCAGGATGTACTGATCATGTTCAGCCTCAGCGTATCCTGCGAACATGGCATCATCTGTCTGCAAGCCTGCCATTGTGTGAGCTCGGTGACTCTTAGACGACTACTGGGTAGGCGAGGTAGGAGCAAACTCGCGGCTGCGAGAGCGATGGGGGGAGAAGGTTCGCTGGAGAATTGAAGGGCGTGCGCAATTTTTATACGCACCTTCTTCTGGCAAATGGAGTCCAATGGAATTGATTTGATGAGGGACCATATGGTACTTGGCGCTTCCCCGCGTTATCCTGGTGGCAAACCAACGGCTCATCGTTCCTGAGCTACGTATCCACCGGGACAGGAAGTCCACGACCTGCGAAAATTGTCCCGGCTCCTCTCGAGCAGCCCACACGGCGCGCTGGCCCCGACGGCGGTCATCTGGAGTCCTCGACAACGGCAACGACGGAGGGGAGGAGTTCGACAAAGGCCGCAACAGCTGTGCGTTCGACATTCCTTATCGGCGCGCATGAGCCCCCTCGCCCGCTGAGCCCGCTCACTTTGAGCAGAGCACGGGCGAAGGTTGGTCGGCGGGCCGGGTAAATGTATAGGCGCACCGAGATCTCCCTAGCTCTGCTACAAATACTAGGGCTGGGCGGCCGTACCACATTGCAAAAGATTGCGTTATCTGCTCACCGTTGCCAACGGCGTGCAGCCGGTGATGGCAGATGTCGTCGACGACAGAAGCGCGGAGAACCAACGAACATTACCCGATCAAGCAGCCCCGTGAGCGCTATCGGATTGATGCGCCTCGCGGTCACACGACTGGCGAGGGAATAAATCAGGTGCGCGTCGCTTGCTCCCAAGTCAGCGGCTTGCGCTCAAGTTCTAGCGGTTATCTCAGGTTATCTCATGCTGCCGCCACACCGATGGCTCCTTCCGACTCAGTCTGATGTTAAATGCAGCGAGACATTGATATTCATCCGTGAAGGTGGGTGTCCCCTATAAACTTTCTTTTGCAGTTATCGCATAAACGAGTCACACCTAGTCAGACTCATTTATCGCTTTATTGGAGAGGATAAGTATGACGGGTTGTTGCGATGTGCTGCAGCCCCCGCAAAGCCCTGTCCGACATCACACTGCGCCCTCGCACGACCCCGATCGGATCGCGCTACGCCACACAGGCTTTTCGACAATACAGCATTTTAACGGCTGATACCAGTTCGCCGGACGCGCGCAATAGCACCCGCGTGCTCTCCTCCAACTAGCGTCCTTCACCATGCGGTCCCCTCTCCGGCAGCCGTTAGTTGCGATCAGTCGAGCCGTCCCTGGCGCAACATGAGGCAACATGACCCATCCACATGCTCTCCCACCACGCCAAGTGGAGGTAGCCAGGCGGGCACGCGTCCCCTCTCTCGGTCCTCAACATCTCACAGGCACCGCTTCTTCGCATTGACCGTGGCTTGTCCCCTGTTCCCTTGACGTCGTGTATCCCATACATCCTGCTCCTAAGGTGTATCCTGAATTGCGCCTTCGTGATGTTGCACCCAGGATCTACGCATCGCAAAATGGCGGAGGTTAGTCCTAATGCCCGGCTTCCCACGCCCTCCCCAATGACCGCCTGATGACTTGAATACTTATTCGGCCGTGGATGTCGGGCTCATCCGCACCGGAATAGCTCAAATGCAAATTTTTCTTCGTCCGAGTCCCTTCTTTTCGTCCGCTTCCTCATCGATACGGCTTGTCAGTCTTTGCCGAGACAGCAGTATGCACCGGGCGGCGGCAAAGCGAACGATGTGCCATCCCACGAGCCCAAGAACTGCTCCCCCCGCTTCCGCCAGGAACATTTCATTAAATCCGGGGCTGATTGGAGCGGAACGTTCCACCTCGGTCCAAGAGAGCAGCAGAGCATGACGTTGCTCGTGGAACGGTGCTTGAAACATGGCATTGTTTGATATTCTTGTGCTGTGCGCCCCCGGGCCTGATAGCTCAGTTGGAAGAGCGTGAGATTAATATATTGCAGTGTTCAGGGGATAGCCTTACCTTTTCTCCTCCCCCCTAGGCTTTTTCGTTTCAGAGTGACTGTGGAATGAAGAATAAGTGAGAGTAAACATGTGCTCTAGAATCTCTGGTATCGCCTCTATGAGCACAGTGATCACCGACACTCTGTTGAGTGTGGATACGCGAGTGTTCTGTCTTTTGATTTGAGGCATAGACATCCGACCTAGATAACATGGCCGGATCGCAACGAGACGTGCTGCTGCTGCTGCTGCTTGCTGCTCAGCTGCTAGCACATTACTGCTTATTGTCAAATCCCAAGTTTCATGGGCAAACGAAGAAATTTAAAACTTTCTCCATGGTCACATATACTGTACGTTCTCGCTGCTATAGGACAAGAGGACAGGTTCATACATTAACGCAGCTTCTCTTTAACATGCGCTACAATATGGTCTGCCAATGTGTAGCTCGCCAGAATGCACATAAGAACCGACCGCTTGTGCTCTCATCACACTTCTCTGTCCCCTCTCGCCGCCGATGGACGCCGCCGCATTACAACACGCTCTCACCTGAGCTCCGTAAGGAGGCTGAGTGCGCAGCGGGGCTGGCTGCTCGTGGCTGGTGACTGATTTTAAGCCACTCAAAACACACTCTACAAAACGGAGGGAGACGAAGCGGACCGCTGCGTCAGGCAGCGCGACGGAACAGCGAGCCGGACAGTCACAAGGACAGTACTATGAGAGCCATGAATTGACAAGTAAATGACGCTGAAGGCGAGATGGATAACGGCGAGGAGTATTGCATAAAAGACGGGGATGCGGAAGGTGAAGAAGACGATAGCGACGGCGACTACGAGGTCGTCCTCGTACAGGTCGATGTTGATTAGGAGAGGGAGATTACTCACCGATGTCGCCGTCGCTCTCTCGGCCTTTGTCTGAATCATCTTGTTGTTAGGTGCGGCAGAAAAAATAGAATTGAGTGTACCATGTGTGCGCTGTGGAAAAGAAGTGAGTGATCCTAAGCTATATGTGCGTACATCTGAAGTGAGCAAAAACAAATCATACCATCGATGCAATGTTAGCTAGTAGAATCTCAGATAGCGCACTCATATAGCTATCCATTACCCACTAGTTGCTGTATAGCGGAGACCACGGACAAGTTATTGACATTGGCAGTGACATACTATGATGGCCCCCTGGTTTATAAAGGCTCCTTGCTTTATAAAATCGATCTTGCTGCTGCAATATGCCCCCGGAGGTGCTGTAAATATTTCTCATGATAGACTTGTATTCATACTATAATATGACATCCATATTATGGCGGGTGTGCAGCAAGAGACGATATGATGTTTTTGTGGATGCTCGGAAGCGATCCAAAACTGGCCGAAAAATGCCACTGATGGCTAAATCCAACCAGATCTCGCTCACCAAATATTCTGGCAACTGCATTCATAGACTTTTGTACTTACACCAGACATGTCTGGTCAACATATTTGGTTTGAAAGGTGCTATGTACATGTATAGGGAAGGAACATTAGTGGAGCGTTACAATGAACGAGCAAGGCGTGATGAAGTTGTCGCTCCGCCTGATCTCAGACAACTGAGGTTGACTTTGGAGAGGCGGCTCGGCTTCTCGGCAGAGGCACGGCTCGACGGCATCTGGTGTGACACTTGTGTGACGAAATTTATAAAAAGTGGTGCAGGACCTACTTTGTGCACCGGAAAGGATCCGCTGCTCTTGCAAAACCTCAATAAGATGTTATAAAAATACGGATATATAGCTAGGGTGTGTGCCCATGCAAAACCGCCCGCGAAGCATGGATGTGGTAAGCTACAGGATGCAGATTTTCCCAGATTTTATAAAGCAGGGTACCATCATAGTAGATACCGTGGCTTGGATGAACCCGAGAGAATGTAGGAGTCTGTACCGAGCTGTGATGCGCCATCAAGCGCCATGCGGAGGGCGCCGCACAGCCTCTTTCCGGCGGCGGAAGACAAGTCTTCCGCTTCATCAAGTGTGCTGGCGGGGATGAAAGTCAATGACCACGTCTACTGACTCTACTCTTACCAGCTGTGGCTGAGTGCTTACATAGTAAAAAGAAGTGTCGCGGTACGTTATCCTACCAATGACGTGCTCAGGCTGGGAATATCATGCGCAGGGAAAGCCGTTCCGCGGCATATGGGACATCCCGCGCTCGAGATTGCTGTGAAACGTTCCTTATCCTAGGACTGCGACGACCTCTGCGACTCTGCTAGCGATGGCTGAAATTACTAGGGAGATTGAAATCGACCTGTCACTCATTCCCCCGCTCGACGAGTCTCTGCTGACTTTGAACGACGAAGAGAGGGAGTTCTTGCACAAGTCGGTCACGTCGGATGATGATGAACTGAAGGAAAGGATAGTGGAGGCTCAGACAAAGTACGGACTGTTTATGATCGCGGTGGGACTAATTCTGCATATATTAACAATGATACATAGTGCCTAGTGGGTACTCAAGGTATTTTGGAACCTCATCATCTAATGGTTCCGATAGCAAGCAACATCCCTATCCATGCATCCGCGGCTTCCACTTTGTCAACTTATTCATGTTTGAAAACCCTATCTATCCTCAGGTCCTCGCCGCAGGGAAATTGGGGCAGACAGTCCTCCTTGATCTCGGATGCTGCAGTAAGAATGCACACTATCGTGATGCATTCGGCAAATCTCATGAATTAACAATGTCTAGTGGGGACAGACGTCCGCAAGCTAGTCCACGATGGCTATCCGGCGTCGAATGTCATGGGCTGCGACTTGCGCCAAGAGTTTATTGAGCACGGCTACGAGCTTTACCAAGACAGAGAACAGTGTGCCATACACTTCTTTGCATCCGATATCTTTGACGTGCCGTATCCGTTCCCAGCAGACCAAGCTCCCGCGGGGCCGCTCGACACTGGAAAAGTGACAGAGATGAAACAGCTGTACGGCAAGGTTGACCACTTCTACACCGGGGCTCTCTTCCACTTATTTGACGAGTCGACGCAATATGCGCTTGCGCTACGTGTGGCGCAGCTGATCAAGCGCAGCGCTGGCACAATCGTGTTTGGTAGACATCAGGGCTTAGAAGAGGAGGGATACATCAATGATCATCTGTCAAGGTATACGTTCAGTCATGACGGTATTGAGATGGCACTGAACGTTTCCGTAAGCAGGAAGCGTTACGGGCATTCCGTCAAGAGCTGGCCATTGCTATGGAAGAAGGTTTTTTCAGAGATCGAGTCACCCGAGTTTGCAGAGAGCAAGGTCGTCGTAGAAGCGAAACTTTCTGGTTCTTTTGCCCCTCACGTCTTTCGCGCCCACGGACAGACGGATATGCTATATTGGAGTGTGAGGATCGTATGAATGACACTGAAGAGCTGGATATATGTATTACAGCATTGCAAATTGACCTTGTGAAGATACTACCGACGTAAAAATGCGGAAGGTGTCAGAACACAACCTCGGCGGGCAGTATGGTCTCTGCAGACGCCGTCCAGAAGAGGGCCGCGAGACTGGCCGGTGGCAAGTACCTGTCACCACGAGAGATTTTCCTATTAGCTGATGTACAGCACAGATCATAGACAGATTGCTGCGCGGCGACCGTTACTCTTGGTGAAGCAGACGGTCCGGATGAGGAGTTGAGTCGGGCGACTTTGCCGCGCCGTGCTCAGGGAGGCGTTCCGAGCCTGAGCGCTTTAATCTCCCGGACTCAGACTTATCTTCTGTCCCCCCCAAAATCAATGTGCTGGTAACGATGATGACCGACAGCTACGTTATCCACCTTCACACCACGTACGAGCTGTGGTTTATTACTGATATGATAACACACGAGCGGCCTAGGTGCAGGGCACGCCGTGCCATATGCAAATGAGCGGTGTTTTGCAATAATTGTCCAGTAAGTGAAACACAGCGGCTGGATGAATTCGTGGACCTTACTGGCTCGTCCATACAGGTATCGCTACGTTCCATCCAGCGGCTGTTTATGTTTCCGGCGACGCCTGGCTTCACACGGTCCCCGAGGCTGGCTGTGTACAGTATGTCTCAGGTGCTGGATGTCCTGCGCGGAAAAACGTTCTGCGGCGAATATGTAACATCTCGCGCTGTATATAAGTAAGTGCGACACCCCTCTTGTGTTAGTACTGCGTCACCCCTCACAGCGCCGCTAGTGATGGCTAAAGCTACCAGCGAGGTCCCGATCGACCCAGCGCTCGTTCCTCCTCTCGACGAGTCCCTGTTGACTTTGGACGACGAGGAGAAGAAATTTCTGCACAGCTCTGTCACGCCAGATGACGTTGAGTTGAAGAGGAGGATATTGGAGGTGCAGACAAGGTATGAGTCGTGCATAATCATGGTGGATTGACATTGGATGCTAACAGCGACACGTAGTGCCTAGTGAGTGTTCAATACCGACTGTACGTATCATTTAATCCTCACCGTTGAGCGATTCTCGGACAGCCAGCAACAACCTTATCCATGCATCCGCGGCTTCCACTTTGTCAAATTATTCATGCACACACACCCCGTCTATCCGGAGGTTCTTACTGCGGGAAAAGCGGGAAGGACGATCTTCCTTGACCTTGGATGCTGCAGTAAGACTCGGAGTGCACGTCATCGTGATGCATGGGGCAAGTCTTATTAATCTGCGATGTCCAGTGGGAAACGAAGTCCGCAAGCTAGTCTGCGATGGCTATCCAAGGACGAAAGTCACTGGTAGCGACTTGCGCCAAGAGTTTATTGAGCACGGTTACGGGCTCTTCCAAGACAAGGGCCAGTGTACTATACACTTCTTTGCGTCCGATATCTTTGAAATGCCGTATCCGTTCCCAGCAGACCAAGCTCCTGCGGGGCCCCTCGACATTGGGAAAGTGACAGAGATGAAACAGCTGTACGGCAAGGTTGACCACATCTACGCCGGGATGTTCTTTCATCTTTTCGACGAGTCGACTCAATATGCGCTTGCGTTGCGTGTGGCGCTTCTCCTGAAGCGTAAAGCTGGTACAGTTGTCTTTGGCAGACATCAAGGCTTGGAGGAGGCGGGATACATCGACGATCCTGTGATAAGGTATGACATCCCGGAGCCTGATGTCGTCTGGATGGTCCTAAACCTTCCGTTTAACAGGCAGCGTTACGGGCATTCCGTCAAGAGTTGGCATCTGCTCTGGAAGAAAGTTTTCTCAGAGGTCGAGTCGCCCGAGTTCGCGGAGAGCAAGGTTGTTGTAGAAGCGAGCCTTTCTGAACCTTTTGATCCCGACGTCCTTCGTGCGCACGGACCGACGAGGGTGCTGTTCTGGAGTATAAAGATCGTCTGAGTGGTACTAAAGAGTCGAATGCATATATTAAAGTGTTACAAATGAAGCTGTAAGGATACAAGAGAGATGCAGTACGAATGATGCACAAATATGAGAAAAATTAACGAGATACAGTTCGGAGCAGCTTGCACAGCAGAGCGCGCCACGACTCCTCTAGACACCACGAAACCTAAAGTGCATAGCCGATGCCACCATCTTCCTCTGGAATGGCAGCAAACTTCCCGCACGGTAATATACCAAACGTCTCGTCGCCACGCCCGTGCACACCATCCTCGTCGTGGTAATGCACAACATATCGCCCACTTAAAACCGTGCTCGCCCGTGCAAACTTTGAGCGCCGTGTGGTTTGCTTCTCCCAGAGCAAGTGTTTCTCCTCCCAGCTGCGCGTCTCGTCCGCGCTTTCCTCGCTCCCCCTATCCGACGCTGACGACACTGACGCTGACGCTGACGGGTAGCGGTAGTGGGGCGCACACGTCGACATGGGGCTGTCAACGAAGACCTCGTCCTCGTCTGACTCGGCTGTTGGCGGGAAGACGAGGTGCACGGGCACTCCCTCGCCGAGCTTCTTCGCGATCCGACGCATCTTCTGCCGCTTTAGCGTCGTATCGCTCGAAATGCTGAATGTTGGCTCCCGCGGCGAGCTTCCCGGAGAGCTGTCTGGGGAGCCTGCAGGCGGGGCGCGCACAGCCTGGTGCGCTTGCGGTGGTACACCTCGATGCGGCGCTGGCGCCGTCGGCGCGACCTTCCCGATGCGGAGGAGCGGGGGCTTGCATGCAGGAAAGCGGGCGCGCCATGAGCGCTCAGAGTGTCCGGACTCGGCGGATCGTGTCGAAGATGTCGAGGCGGTCGAGGCGACGCTCGGCGACCGCGTGGATCTGAGGCTGCTACTTCGTGTTGGCGGACTAATTGGAGATGCTTTGGACGATCGACGTTCAGGCTGGAATGGCTTGCAGGACGACGGAGAGACGTACCGTCAGTGTCGTCCAGGATGTGCGGCGTGCTCCCCAGTATCTGACCCAGCTTCGCACTGGATCGCAGCAGCTGGGCGCGCTGCGCCTGGCTTAGCGTGTTATACGTCGGTGGTGGACGAGGGAAGACGATCGATGCATTGGCCATAGCTCAGAGCTCAGATGAGACAGAAGAAGAGAGACTATTTACAAACGTAGTCGTGGTGGCCACTAGGGCCAAAGGATGAGACTCGCAACGAAGGTGGGCCCAAGCATCCTCAGCAACGGGTATACATACCGTACAAAACAATTAAGCCCACCCTGCTGTCAAAGATGGTCCGCCGCGCCAGTTGTGCTAGTTCGAAATGCCAAATACTGGTAAAGTTCGCCCGTACCTCCGCGTCATCTATACATTATTCGAGGGAGAGATCAGAAAGCGCAATTTGTAGACTAGCTTCGGCCTTTTGTCTTGCATTCCAGGGGATATGAGAAGGCACAGTCATGCGGGACGAAACAATAAGGAGAGGGTCAACAAGCGCCCGGTATCGAAGCACAATGTGCAATTCGCTACGTCTGCCGACGGGAGAAGAGCGGTGATAAAAACCAAGCTTGAACCAAGCTTAAACTACTGACTTCAACTTACAGAGGGAAGAGACTCTAGAAGGGAATACAGATAATTAGTCTCAGCGGTCTATGTTAGTCTTACACGCAGCCAGGAGGAAGGCGATAGCATAGACTGGACCCGATGTCTCAAAGCGTCTAATCAAGCTCGATGACCTCCACCGCGTCGTCGTCCTCAACCACCTCGTCCTTCGACTCGAGCAGTAGGATGCCGTCTTCATCCAGCTTCCGTTTTTTGCTCGGCGTCACCGGCACGGTCACACTCGCAGGCAGGGTGTTCGCCGTGTCCGTGGGGTTCGTCCGCATCCGCTTCGCCGGCGGTACATCTACGATGATGTCGTCTTCCTCTTCATCATCCGGCGCAGCGCGCTTCAGACCTGGGGTCTCCGTCGGCTTGACAATGCGTGGTGGTCGCGGCAGTGGGTAGGGTAGCATGAGCGTATTGCCGTCGATGGGGTGATTCGGTCTGTAGGCCATCCGTATGAGTATCACTGTCCCAGTATGAACGAATTGAACTCACGGCAGCTGTCCGATCGCGACCTGGATCGTCGCATACTCTCCGTCTTCATCCACAATCGACAGGAACTTCCCACGTGTCACACCCATGCCCTCAAGGTCGCGGTCGAGATTGTCGTCCCAGTCGGGGTCGCTAAGAACACGCTGTGCCTCATACACACTCACATCGCGCGGGCCTGTGCCGCCATCCTCACCATCACCATCACCATCACCAAGGATACCCTCCACAACCTGGCGCAGTGTGACCTGTGACGGGTCGCAAAGAACTTCAGCGTATGTGTCTCTGCAGACGCCGCACTTCGGGTTCGGCGCGCTAAGGTTGATGGTGGATAGAGGGAGTGATGGACGGAATTGAACATGTACATTCCGCAACTTGTTATAGGTCTTCCGAAGTAGATGGAGAGCCTGTAGGACGACTAGACCAGCGATAATGGCGTTCGTGGTCGCTATTGCAGGAATAATATTACCAGCCATTTCTGTCCAAGAGAAGCAAATGATGAGTATATGCGCACATAGTGTAAAGTGCGCACTTGCCTTTCACCTCCCATCTGCTCTTCCCGTGAATGCCATACGCAGCCGCTCGCAAGTTCGCCGCTGCCGTGACAAAGTCGAGGGTATCACCATCGTCTTTGTCAAAGGAGATTGTCTCCTCGCCATTGCGGATACGTGCAGCAAGTCGATTCGTACTAAGCACCACTGGAGTCAGTCGCATCCTTTTTGTACCTGACTCCTAGACGTACCTCGACACGAACAGCCCCAAGTTATCCTGCAGCGTCAAGGCACGCTGATCCTTCAGGCCTGCGGAACCCCACCCAGCTTTCAAGCCGCTCGCAGATGGAGTGCCATCCAGCATCCTCTCAGTGGCGGCACTGCCACCGGCAGTGTCACCATTGACCAACGCACCATCTGCAGGCTGCTTGGATGAGCCGCCATTGACTTGCAGAGCGCCTCCTGTGCGTTTATGCGCAATACAGAAAGTGCCGTTCTTGATGCCGTTGAAATCCAGAGGAGTTGGTTTTGCACGGGTACGCCACATGTCGGCCATAGAAAGGAGGTTGTTGATATCGTCGTGGAAGACCTGTGCGATATTTGTGTTAGAACTCCACTTGCTTGACAGAGTGGTATAAGATTCTGACTTTGCTGAAGACTAGTCTAGCCGCGTCGTCACTGCCGACGTCAGACTGTTGCAGGGCGTTTCGTACTTTCTTGAAGGCCTGTGCCTCTTTACGAAGAGTAGCAATTTCTTGGGCTAGTGAAGAGTTACACCTTAGGCGAGATAGTCTCGCCATCCCAATAAAACGTACCGTTCTCTCCCTGTTTTTCCGCTTCGTCAAGCTCTTCTCCCGAATCTTCCTCTTCGCCGAATAATTGACTACACATCTTGAGAAGGATAATATATGCGTAGTAGGGTATGCTCACGGGATGAGGTAGCTCTTCGCCCACACAATACAGTGTATTGGCTGAGACGGCGTCGAGCGGATGGTGCATACTGGAAATGTTTTGGGTGTGGGTTTAGGAACACAGTCGAAGCATTCGGATTTGTCCTGGAAGCGATGTTTACTAGTTAGGCGCGTTATGTACCTGAGGGATCATTGCATACCTTGACGATGGGCTGTACTTGTCCAAGGTAACCAGCGGTTCCAGACTCCATAAGTGGAACATCCGCGGCCATACACATCTTGTTCACATGTCTCCGAGCATCTGTGGCGATCCGCGGTGAGCACACGACCCCCATTGCGACAAGCGAAGTGTTGTTACCCAGGTTGTCGAGCGCATTCAGTACAAGGTCAAAGCCCCTGAACCATGATATGTCAAATTGGGGCTCCTTGATGTTGCCGTGAATAGGGTGTATGCGCACGTTGGGGTTGAAAGCCGATGCTGTCTTGGCTGCAACCTGTGCTGCATTTGAGAAAGCGAGCGGTAAGGAGAAGGGAATGAGACAGGCGTACCATGGCCTTGCTCTGCTTGACATCTTTCTTCCTAAACAAGAACTGTCTGTTCAAGTTCGACAGATCAATGGTATCGAGGTCGAGCAGAGTGATGTTGCCGAAGCCTGCCAGGACGATATTCTTCACTGCAACGACACTTTAGCGATCTATCACGCAGCCGAGAGGTATAGGATCTCTGCAGAGGCCTGCATCATGGCGAAGAATACTCACAGACTTCACATCCGATGCCGCCAGCACCGACCAACAGCACCTTCACTTCGGGCAGCCTGGCCGCCAACTCTGGTCCCAAGATGGCACTCGTATGGCGAGAGCGTCCAGACATTTTTGAGATTTTGTAGTCGTAGCCTCCGATCAATGCGCTCGAAAGCGGGTCGAGGGACTTGTCGTCGGTGAGAGCGTCGAGCACTGCCTGCGCCGTCTGGACAGATCTAGAGTTGGAACTGAGAAGCGGGTGCTTGAACGCCCAAGCGTGACAGGCCTATGACATGTATGCTCGTGACGTAACGCGAGTAATGTCACCCCTACGCGGCTGGACCACCAACCAGTAGTAAGGTGCTCAGGCTATAGTCCCTCACTCGAAGCTCAAGTTTAGGCAAGGTCAGCTGGCTATGGTAGATAGCTATGCTGAAACTGTTGCCCCATGCTACTTCCACTCTCGAGCTATTCGCTGCGAGGATTAATACCCAAACGGTAAGAGGTACACGAGGTCTTGACATACTTCTCATTTCGGCATTCAAGCGAACGGCCTTGGGCGAGTCCCCGTGCACTCCCACAGGCCAAAGCGGTACAACACGAGTGGCTCAGCATACAGCTACCCCAGCCCGGGTTAAGGGGAACGCGAAAGGTCAGGAACACGCGCTTCAAAGACATGTGTGATGTGCGAGACGAAAGCGACGATCTATCCGCTGCAGTCTCTGCAGCGAGCCGTGCACGACGTCGAAGTTGGCGAGAGCACGGTGCCATATTACTTGCTTTGATGTGATTGAGTAGATGCCATGGTACACTTATGCATATGCGTATTCCTTATTAGAGTGCATGCAGAGACGACGTGCGTCTTGTAAATGAAAAATAAGCAGGTGGAAACGAAACTGGCTGACCTCCATCCCATGCTCTTTGTACCCCTAAACTCGAAACCCGAACAACCCAGAGCCCAGAAGTCCCGCCTACTGAAACTTAATCTGTGGCTGCAGGACAGGCCACGGCGGATGCGTAATAGCTTCTCCGCGACGGGCCTTCTCCATTGCAGGGTGCAGCGTCTTGTGTAGCGGATGCAGGCGCGAGCACGAGTCGAAGAACTTGGAGTAGGCAGGGTTTGTCCAGCATGGGACGCGCTCGACAACTTCGCATGGGCGCACTGCGCTGCAGGAGCTCTTCGAGACAGCATGACGCATGACGCTCTCGGGACGGGAGAACTCGCAGAGGCACTTCGGGCACGAGTAGCGCTTGTAGACGTGCGACCAGTGGCTGTCGAGGTGGCGAAGCCACGTCTTCGGATCGCGCCCGCCGAGCACCTTCGGGCAACCCTTCACAGGACAGCCCCAGGGCCCGCGGTGGGTCCCATCGTCGCCGTCATCTGCGTCCGTTGACGGTTCGCGGCTTTTGTGATAGACGTGTGTACGGGCCGCACGTGAACTCGGTGCTGCGGGTGACTTGGAATAAAAGACAGTGCGTGGAGAAGACTCTACAATCTCCCATGGCGTGCGGGAAGGACTGACTTCGTCGTCGTCGTCGTCGTCATCGCCACCACCGTGCTCATTGTCTCGAGTGCAGTGACTGTGTTCTTTGTCTAGTTTTGGCGCCTCTTGCGCGCTTCGGGACTCTGCGTGGGCAGCTTTCTCTTTCCATCGACGCACCGAAGGCATTTGGTACCAAGCGATACTGTCGTAGTGAGCATCATCGGACGCCGAGGATAGTGGTCGTGTGGTCGCATGCGCCGTTGAAGACGAGGAGGCAGATGAAGAGGCGGAGTCCGTGCGGTAGTGGCCGCGGTACATGGTGGCTATGAAAGAGAGACGTTGTGAGTGGCTGGCGGGAGAATAAATGCTTTTAAGGGTCCAAGCCGGAGTGGCCCATACACGAGCGTGGTTCACGGCCACATTTCGAGATCACCATAATCGGGCATGACCCAGGCTTAGGCATGATGAAGCGCCACTTAAATCGAGAGTTCATTGTCTTACGCCGGCTACCATTTTAGGGAGAATAAGTCTTGATGTATGTTCTTCCGTCAACAAAGCAAGGAGACGAAAGAAGGCAGTCGTGGAACTCGCTTGTAGGAGAACAATACCACAGCACAGCGACGCTGGCCACTTGTCAGATCGTCGTCACGTATCACGTCACGTCACGTCCCCTGCAATGAAATGAAGCGTAGCATCGAGGCCCTTTGCGGTCCAGAACAGAATGCTATCATATGCAACGCCTCTGCTGTGCGGGAGGTTGCAGGTCTGAGGGCTTTCTTGCCCCCCTGTGATACAGCCCGCATCAACGGGTGGTGGGTATTTACCCTGAGATATTGAAAACTTTAGACTTTACACCTTGCCTTTGCACCGCTCGCAAGACGCTTGCTAGGGTGAGAGATTTTTGACTCTCAGTTCCCCGTGTACGCTGTTATCATTGTGCAACAATCTCTTGAAGTTGCTTCCTGATTGGCTGGAAACAAACCTCAGGCTTATTCCAAATCCGGAAGCCCTAACTTGTGGTCAAGCAAAGCCTTCTATTCTTCTAAAGCCACATATTGTGCTATCATCAGAGACAGAAAACACCACAGGAGACGGGTTGGCAGGCCTTATTACCACAGTAACCGAGCCCAGAGACGTAAAGATGCACGTTCGGGATGGCCGTCCCCAACGCATCCCCGCTTCCGTTGTAAGCGTCACCACTGTCGATTTGGTAGATGACACAGCCCAAAGTGCCCAAGTATATCTCTAAGAGCTAGCGCGGCCGGCGGAAGATCTCCTTGTGTTTCTGGGGCACAGCGTGTGCGAGGACCGGTCCAGGGCCTCGTTTGTCACGATTGCGTGACAAGTACGTGACAATCGTGTGACGTACGTGTGCATGACGCGCTCGCCTTGCCTGTCTCTGAGCCCTGCCTGACCTCATCCACCACGACGAATGGACGACCGACCTTCGCAACCTACGACAAGCGACGGCTACGTGGAAGCTGCCTCCCAACTCCTTGTGCTCGTCTCCGCGCATCCACCACCATTCATCTACGTGCATGACCCGTCGACGCCGCGAGTCGCGACCTCGACGATTAACTCAATGCTTCATAATCTCAAGAAGGAGCCGGGCTTGAACGTGGCATTCGCCCACATCAACTCTATTACCTGCTTTACACCGCGCTTGCTCTACGATACTGTCTTAAATGCATTGGCAGGATGGTCGCCGACGTGGGAAAGGGGATGCGCGAATTGGAGCGGGCCGCTCGAGGGTACGGGCCAGAGGTTCAATGAAAGCTTCGACGGGTTCACTCATGGACTACGTGCGATAAATGACGGTATGCTTGTCCAGCAGTCTGAATCCTCCGCCCGAGCGGTAGGACAAGGAAAGGTCGCGGCAGAACCGCGCTTGGTGTTGGTGTTCGAGAACGCTGAGCGGCTAAAGGAGACCATGCCGGATATTTTGGCACCATTGGCGCGGCTTGCAGAGCTGGTGAGTGCTTCTGGCTATCAATCTGTCCTCCCTGAGAATACAGATCTGCCCGCAAACTTGGAAGGTTGTTCGGTGAGCCGAATGCGCATATCTGTATGACTCTCCACGTTTGCGGTCGGGTGCGCCTTTGATCCTGTACTTCATTACTCTGACTTGCCTCACCACTCTTCCTTCAAGTCTCGTATCGTTATCACCACCATCTTCGTATCGGAGGTCCGATGGGAGCATATCCGCCCCTCGTTGGGTGCGGCTCCTGATCCGTACTACGTCGACATTCCGCAGTTGTCAAAACAGGGTGAGCTCGCTTGCTTTATCTTCTGTTGTCTTGACTTTGACACCCGCGCAGCTATTGTAGATCGCCTGAGCGCGTTGTATCCTTCGGATGAGCCATTTAGCCCGGAGAAGCACATGCACAACGGCTTGGACCCTTACACCTATCATCCTATATTCCGCTCACTTTATGTGCATTTTGCTGCGACTGTGCATGGTGTTTGTGCCGTGTTTACAACGGACCTGGACGACCTTGCGTATATTGCCGCAGCAACATGGCCAGCGTTCATTCGACCTGTCATCGACGAATACCGACGCATCGTACTAGGGAGGCGAGAACTCGCGCGGCAAGAGGCCGAAGAGTCTGGAGAGGATATCCTACAGATCCCTGAAGGGAACACCATCGAAAAGGAGGTCGAAGACTCACTTGCGTTACCGCCAGAGGATGCGCGCATACGTCTCACACGTCTCTTTACACCTTCCATCACAGCCGCCCTGGAAGCCCTATACCCTCGGCATACAAATGCGGCAGCGTGGGCGACAGCCAATGTTCCCCCAGCAGATCTGCTTTTGGTACCACCCCACCAAGTGCCGCCATTGGTCTCGAGGCCCTCGGAAGATTATGACACCGAACGGGTGATGCGGCAGCTGCCTCGCATGGCTAAGTTCATCTTGGTGGCCTCTTATCTGGCAAGTACGAACCCTTCGAGCACAGACATGCGAATGTTTGGCCGCGGTCCGGATGAGAGAGCGAAGAGACGTCGGAAAGGGGGCAGTCCCAGGAAGACATCAGCGAAAGCTAGCGCGGTCAAGGCAGGTGTCATCTGTGCCCTCAACCCTCTCTGCCTAATCGAGCTGCTCTCAGATACCACAGCGCCTCCTCGGCCCAATGCCCTTCCCCCTGGACAGGATGATCGCTATTCTAGGTGTATTGCTCGAGGAAAACGATACGGACACGCGACGACCTGCCCCAGAGTACAGCGTACCTGGAGAACACACCGAGGTGGAAATCTCGAGGACAGCTACCTATGCCCAGGTATGATGAGTACTATTCGCGCTTTGGAAGAATGCTCATGATGACCTCAGGTCATGGAACTTGCATCGATGCATCTATTGCATCGGACTTCCCCCGCAGAAAGGTTGGAGATGTCACCGATGTACAAGAGTGGTATAGGGTACGATGCGGCGTTGCTTCTCGCGAAGGATGTTGGGATCAAGCTCAATGACTTGGCCTGGGATCCCGTATGATACTGGGGCGCACTGTGCAACCGTTGTGGTTTATCCAGCGTAAATAGATGGACTGTGCTCGGTGCTCACATAGTTGCCGGTTCGCTTTAGTCGGTCGAACCCGCTGATGGGATCAACGGAGCCACCGCGGGCGCATGAGGCACGCGTTCCGCCTAAATTGAGTTCTCCCACCGCCGTGCTCGACCTCGCCGTCGAGCACACCGTTCAACACGTTTTCAAGCGCCGTTTTGTTTTGATCTTTTCTTGTTCGATACCCCTAATGACCTCGAGACCGCCATCAGAGACGCCGTCGCGAATGTCGCGCAGAACGTCGCACTCGACGGCAGCAGGCATGTCGTCGGGCCCAACGAAGTCCAGGGCGTCCTCCATCGTTTCACGGAGCAGTGCCACCAGTGGTACAACCACAGTCGTCCCTAACAGCAAGAGCACCCTGTCCGGCTCAACGCTCGTCGCGAAGAGTAAAGTACCTGCTCCAACCCGCCGACCGTCAATGCCACCGTCCTCGTTCCCGCTCAAATCGATCGACCTCGATGATCCCACTGTGATAACAACCCCAAGCACTCCCTCTGCTGTCAGGACAGCCCGACACCAGAGTCTTCCTCCCGGGGCCATCTCACCTATGAAGCGCGCCCCATCTGCTATGTCTAGCACGAAACGGCACACCCGGACGACATCAGTCATACACCTCACCGGCCCCCCAAAGAGGCCAGGGAATTCAACACAGCTGTCCATGCCGCAGGCCCCTCAACAAGTCGACTCACTGTCCGCGGACTCGCCAGGTTTCTCGACGTCGCGCAGCTCTGCCATCGAGACCAGCGTAACCCCAAAGCGCTCACCGGCTAAGCCGTCAGCGCGCACGCCTGGAAGTGTCCGAGGTACACACGTAGGGTCTAAAGGTCACTCGCCCTCGCCAGCTGAGAAGAGATCCGGGGGAGCGACCCCTCGCTCTAATGCGCGCTCGTTATTCACTGAGAGCACCGCGCTGCTCACAGACAGCATGGCCATGCAGGGCCGTCAGTACGTCAACGACACGCTCGGCGACTCTCCTGCTCTTCGCCTGACCGTAGATAGCGCCCATAACGCGGACGGGATGTCACATTGGGACGATGATCAAGACGAGACATCGATGGACATGCTGACAGATGTGGACGAGGAGGAAATGGATGAGGACGTGCGTATTATCTTTTTAATCAGCGTTGTCCTCGCCTGAAGTTGTACCCAGATGCAAAACCAGCTTGATGGTGTCATGAAGGTTCACACCGGCAAACTGCTGCACTACAAGCGTTTACTCGAGCGCGCGCATGCATCAGCGGCTGCTCAACTTCACGCCCTACAAGCAGAAGTGCGCATGTTGCGAGAGCAAACGAATGCTGGTGAAGTCAACCCGCTGCTCAGTGCTGTCGATTCGGGCCAATTTTGTGTCTGCGGCGGCAAGAAGCGCAAGGGCTACTGGAGTGGCTACCGCGGAGAAGAAGAAGATGATGAACCCGGAGATGTGGACCTAGCTAGTGCTCTGAAAGGTAAAGGTGGTGTCTTCAACGAAATGGATGTCAGACGAGCTGTGAGAACACTCAGTAGGGACGACAGGATGAGGCTGTAGGTCTTTTGTGGCGTCTTATCTGGCACGCACTGATAGACTTCATCGTTAGTATTAGCCTCATTTTGGACTCCTGCATGCCCGGAGATATTCGTCTGCAGATTTTACTGCTTGACAAGTATGCAAAGTCCACCTTTGACGTTGTCGGCCATCTCGCTCCGGACCTGGTGTTCAAGATTTTCAAGTACTTGACCATGCAGGAGCTCATGGGGGTCGAATCTGTGTCGAAGAAATGGCAGGAAATGGTACATCTTCCTGCTCTCTGGAAGCACCACGCTCTGCGCATCACAGCCACGGACCCGGTTCCACTCAAGCCGCCATCGTCGCCGGAAGGATGGGAAGCCTTGTACCGCTCGTTGCATCACCGCGAATCGAACTTCAAGAATGCACTTCCTCAGAGCATCCGGTTCATGAACGGCCACACGAACTACTGTACGACACTTCTACTCCGCGGTAAACGTTTGATCAGTGGATCCTACGACGAGACTATTCGGTTCTGGGACATTGAGACGGGGGAAATGAAGAAATGCATTCAGGTCAAGAAGCCTGTCAGTTGTGTCGACTTCTTGGCTGAGGAAGAAGTGTTTGTCGTCGGCTTCCATGATGTCGGGTGAGCTGTGACTCGGAGCTTTGCGCATTCAACCGGCTTATGTCTCTCATAGACGTGTTCACCTCTTCTCTTCTCTGACCTTCACGCCGCTTCAGCAGCTTTCCGGGCATCTGCATGGTATCCGAGCTGTCGCATTATCCTCCAAAAACCTTGTTTCAGCCGGTGTAGACAAAGCGCTCGTATGCTGGAACTGGCGTACAGGAGCCAAGATTGTGCGCTTTGGTCAACAGACCACCGTGAACATCGGCGTGCAAATCATTGGTGGCGCTACTGCTGACGAGGGCGAGCGCGTTGTCAGCGTCACTATCGACGGTATTGTGCGCGTGTTCTCGATCAGTAAGCCTGTTTTTTGTTGTGCGTTGGACAGAGATAGCTTATGGATGATGTCCAGGGCGTCGCGAGATGGTGTCTCAGTTCAAACTTTCCGAACTTGGCGGTAGTGATCCTGTGCTCAGTGCGAAGCTGTTGAACGTAGGCAAAGCGCCCGATAACATGCTGCAATGGTTCGCAGCTAAGGGCACCCAGATGACCGTAAGTGTGTAGATCATCTGTGATGATCGTATCTCACATATCTTGCAGTGCGCTACCAAGTCCATCATCCTGCATCTGCAATGGACCGAAGAAGAGAACGGCCCTGGGACAAGCACAGATCTGCTCAGTCCCCAGCACATGACTCGTCCGATCACTCCCCAAACACCTGGCTTCAGCCCTCCGGCGGCGCCCAGGACGGCGTCGTCTATGTCCCGCCGCTCAAGCTCTTATGTGACGCCTGGTCGCCGCAGCTCACTGGCCAGCTCGTACAGCTCAGCCGGTGGATCGTCTACAGGTCTCAAGGGCCGTCTCTCCCTCACTCCAAACCCCGCCACCCCAATGACCCCCGTCAGCCCCACCTACGGGCCCGGGGCGCCCACGATGTACTTTGGCCGCGCCGCCGTCCTGACCGCGCCGCCGAAACTCGTCGGCGTCGTCGAGACGCCAGACGTCGCCGTCGGCGCCGTGGACCCGCAGAAGCGGCGGGTCGTCACCGCGACGCGCTTCAGCACGCGCAGCGGCGCGAACCGCACGATCTTCATGTCGACGCACCGCGACAGGGAGGCGGCGCGCCGTGCCGCGGCGGCCGACGGCGACGACGATGACGACGACGACGACGCGTTCTCGCTGTCGCCCGCAGACGGCGGGGCGGCCTCTCAGGAGGAGGTCGATTACGAGATGAGCATCCTCCCGCTGACCGGCGCGTGGTCTGCGCTCGCCGAGACGGACGGCGCGTCGGCTGCGGGCGCGAAGGGCCTCCTTGGGAGGCTGCCTGCCAAGTTCCTGGGCCTGGCGACGCCGGAGAAGAACCCGATGTCGATGCAGCTCAGCCACGAGGAGGTCGTCGTCGGATGCGCCGACGGCACCATCTAGTGAGTGCTTGTGCTTTTGTGATTCCGCGACTGTGAACGCTGACGTGTGTGCGTGGCAGCGTGATGAACTTTGTCGGTTACGACTACCGTAAAGGGCGCCAGGACGCCGACTCGCGTGGCCTGTCGTCAGGCGTGGAACCCGCCGCCGTCACCGACGGTAGCTATTGATTGTCTTGACCCTTTCTGGATATCGGATCGTTTGCATTGAATGTACCCTCTCGATAACGTAAAGAAAACACTCATTTAGTTCACTTTCGGATCACCTTGTAGATAATGTTCACGTCGGGGTTTTTTTTTTTCGTACATACCCGTTCTACTCTGGATTACATCGGTCTCTCTCTTCATCAGCTATGGCAATCACCACCCTCCCTTGCATAATCACTCGAGTTTAGATCAAGTTGTACGACGTGTGCCTATAAAGGCCGTGGTTTGTCTATGACCATTGTCAAGAACGCGAAGAGTGTGGTGCTAGCGGGGTATCTCGTGGAGGCACTGCGTCCTCTCCGACCAGCGCCAGCTGCTCCGCCTTGTCTAGGCCCATGCGTCCCCTCCATATGCCCCCAAGGTAAGGTGGAGCGGACTCG